CAGTTCCTTGAACACAAAGAGGCTCAAGGACAGCACCCAGGCCCTAAGTTCAAGCCCCACAATTGACAAAAAAAAAAAAAAAGTGAAGTCTTGTCACTTTTTCATTGAAGTCAGGCTGGGATCTTATAAGTAGCTTTTAACAAATAAAGCAGAAATGGTGGTGTGTTCCTTCAGATTCTATGTCATGAAAAGCAATACAATTGGGTCACATAGCCAACAGATATGTCCTGAGGATGAGCAATTGGCACAAAGAAAAGCCTGTGTGGATAAGAATGAGACTTCTGTCTGGCTTTGGAGGTGGTTCTTCTTGCTTTAGTTGATTTTAGCTCTTATGTCCTCCCAGTACTCAGGAAGACAAGGCAGGATTTTCACCAGTTTGAGACCAGCATGGTTACATAGTGAGTTCTAGACCAACCTGGGCTATATAAGATGGCTTCAAAAATAAAATTATAGCAATAAATGAAAACTAAGTGCTCAGAACCCACAACACTGCTGCAGTGGCCAAGAGCTAGTGGCTATAGTTCTAACTACTTAGGAAGCTGAGATCTGAGGATTCTGATTCAAAGCAGCGTGGGGGGGGGGGGGGGGAAGGGGAGGGAGGGGACAGGAAGAAAAGTCCTTGAGACTTATCTCCAATTAACACTAAAAAGCTGGAAATGGAGGTGTGGCTCAAGAGGTAGACTAAAGCCAAGGGACAGTACCCAGGCCCTGAGTTCAAGTCTCAGTACAGGCACCAAAAACAAACAAAAAAAACCCAGGTGCAGTGTGTGAGATCATCAAAATCAAAGCAATCTTCCCCTGAAAAAGAAGCTTGTTAGTGGTCAGGAGAGTTTTCCAGGCACCATCCATGCCTAGGAACTGGAGCAGAAGGATCAGCTTCTTGGAAAGGAAAGAGGCCAGATCTCATGGTTTCTGAGAAATGTCTCCAAATTACATACTGTTCCATCTGCTCAGATTTCCCAGCTTGACAACCCTATGAACTGACATTGGCCCTATTTTGCAATTTCCCCCCACATCTCAATTCTGTTCATCCTGAGCAGGATACTGTGAAGGAAAATGTGAGGACCTGGGGATAGGAGAGATGGGGTTAGAATCCTGTTTCAGATATGAATTCAACAGATAATGTTGTGCCAGTTGTTGGGCCGGCTGCAGCCCCTACAAAGATCAAAACAAGGGGACTATATAACCACAAAAATAAATGTAAAACTTTACTTTGTATGTCCCTCCCCCACAGTATAACCCCTGCTTTCACTGTATTTGATGTCGGTATAATTTGTAGAGGAGAAGGGGAAAAAAAATCATTTAAATAGGGATACAGGTGGACCCATTGCAACGATGAGATGTACAAGTCGTTATGTCGAAAACGAACTTTACAACTTTGGTGGGGGGGGAATTGGGAATTGGGTGGAGGGGCAGGGGGAGGATGGGAAGGGATGGGAAGGGGAAACAAAGGAGGAGGCTACAATGCTTGATAAGAAATGTATTCATTATCTTGCCCATGTAATTGTAACCCCTCTGTACAGTATTTTCACAATTTAAAAAAAAAAGAATACAAAAAAAAAAAACCAAAACTTTACTTAGCTGATAAGGGGTATGAGACCGGATTAGGGGAGATCAAGGAAAGTTATGCTGGGGAAGAGAGCTAAAAGGAAGAACTAATTAACCTAAGAGTAGAAGGAAGAACTTTCTAGACAAAAGGAACAGCATAGATAAACAGTGACAAGAGAGATAAGCTTGTGGCTGTGCTGAAAACAGGTGAGTGCAGCCAGAGCTATGGAAAGAACTGGATGCAAGTGAGAGGTAGCTAGGAGGCCATCTAAGCAGGACTTGGCAGTAGTAGTTAGAAATGCTTCTCGGGCAGGGAATGTGGTCTTGTGGTAGAGTGCTTGACTAACATGCACAAGGCTATGGGTTCAATTCCTTGGTACCACATAAACAAAAATGAAAAAACAAAAAAAAATGCTTCTAGCTGAAATAACAACCTAGTCAATAGTCTTAAATACATAAATGTGTATTCTGAATCTTCACTTAATAAGAAGTTTGGTAGAGCTGGGCACCAGTGCCTCACACCTACAATCCTAACTACTAAGGAGGCAGAGATCTAAGGCTTGAGGTTCCAAGCTAGCCTGGGAAGAAAAGTTCATGAAACTCTTCAATTAATCAGCAAAAAGCCAGAAGCTGAAGATATGGGTAGAATCACACTTTTTTTTTTTTCTTTTTGGTGGTGGAACCTGAACTCTGGGCCTGGGCGCTGTCCCTCAGCTCTTCAGCTCAAGGCTAGCATTCTGCCACTTGCGCCATAGCACCACTTCTGGCTTTTTCTGCTTATGTGGTGCTGAGGAATTGAACCCAGGGCCTCATGCATGTAAGGCAAGCACTCTACCACTGAGCCATCTTCCCAGCCCTACAATCATACCTTGAGTGATAGAATACCAGTTCTGAGTAGAAAAAGCCAAGTGAGAGAGAGTTCAAGTCCCAGTATTGGCATGCACAAGTGTGGGCATGCACATGTGCATGCACTCGTGCGTGCGTGCGTGCACGCGTGCGCACACACACACACACACACACAAACACCACCCAAAACAAAATAAAGAGAACAAAAACTCCCACAGTAAGTGATATATTGAGTAGCATAATCAGCAAATATAGGAAGGAAGCAAACAACTTGATGGTTGGTATCATTATCTGAGTAGATAATATTGAAAATCAGGAAGTGGCACTGTGGCTCAAGTGGTAGCACTCGCCTTGAGCTGAAGAGCGAAGGGACAGCACCCAGGCCCAGAGTTCAAGCCCCATGAGCCACAAAAAAAAAATAATTAAAAAAAAAGATAATATTGAAAATCAACTGTTCCATTTTAGATATACTGAGTTTGAGATGTGTGGTAAACTTAACAATGGCCTTCAAAAGATATCCACATCCTAATCCCCAGAACCTATAGTGTCATTTTATGTAGAAAGAGATTTAGTAGTTGTGATTAAATTAAGGGTTGTGAAATGAAGAGTACCTGGATATCCAGATATACCCTATATGTCACAAGTATCCTCTTAAGAAGGAAGCAACAGAGGGAGATTTTGCTCCCAGTAAAGATCTGGTTACAGAATGGTAAGACACTGAGAAGATGGATTATCATGAGAAAGAAGCAATAGAAGATATGATAGTGAAAGTTGTTATAGCTAACTAGATTCTTAGAAACCGAAGAGATTCTTCTCTCAACTTCCAGAAGGAAGCTGGTGACACCTTGACTTTGGAACAGTCAGACTTTCAAACGTTTCAGACTTTTGGTCTACAGAACTAGAATAAATGTGGAGCCCTTGGCACTGTTTTATTGGCTGGTACTGGGGTCTTGTCAGAGTGACAAATTTTTCTGTTGAGTCGGCTATAAACTGTGATCCTCTTCTCAGTCTCCTGAGTAATTAGGATTACAGGTGTAAGCCACTGGCACCCAGCTCAATTTGTGTTGTTTTAAGCTACTAACTTTGAAATGATTTTTCTTTCTTTTCTTTTTTATTTCTTTCTTTCTTTTCTTTTTCTTTCTTTTCTTTTTTTTTATTTTTTGCAGTGCTGAGGTTTGAATTCAATTCAAGGCCATGTACTTGGTATTCTATGGCATGAGCCATGCCTTCAACCAAGTTTGTAGTTTACAGTAGCTGGAAAATGTTTTAAAACATCTAAGAGATCAAAGTGTGGTAGTATGCATCTGTAATCCCTGCCTTGGGAAGCAAGAAGATCTCAGAGTTTCAAGAGTTCCAGGCCAGCCTAACTACACATCTATACTCTGTCTCAAAAAGACCTTTAATAATTTAAAAAAAAAATCTTGGGGAGACATCTGTTCCAAGATAGAGCGTTTAGCTAGCAAGCATGGTGCCCTGGGTTTAATCTTCAGCACTATAAAAATAAGAGAAAAAAAGAAAAATAAAACCACCTATCAGGGGTGGGGGACTTTTTCTTCCCAGGGCCACTAGGCTGTTTATAGCATCATTACAGGATATTTATAACATCATTAACTGTCTGTCTCAGAGCTGGGAGTTCCCACCCCCCCAAAAAAAAGATGCTCATGTGATAAGAAGGATGAACTTGAAATATAACTGAACATCAAATACAAGTGGAGGGCAGATAAAGGGGGAGGCGGGGCATAGTTATATTACACCTACGAGCTGTGCGTCGCTCAGCAAGCTTTGGGGAAGGATACTGGGGTGTAAACTCAAGGTTTTGGCTTTTCCTGGCTTGCTGGGTAGGTACTCTACCATTTGAGCCACGCCCCCCCAGTGTCTGATCACTTAATTCTGAGCCACACACCAGGACCTGAGCAATCAATCCTGTCCGGGCACATCATGAGATTTATATGCATTCTCCTCAACCTCACGGCCACTTTGCGAGGTTGTTGTTGTTGTTGTTACTGTTATTATTACCGTGAAGTATAAAAAGGAAAAGCTGATGCTTAGTTTAAGCCCACTCAGTACCCAGCAGAGACACGCTGCCGTGGGTGCCTCCCGTCCTGGAGGCGGGAACCAGGGCACTCAGCAGACGGCGCCCAGAGCCTACTTCAGAGTAAGTTCTAGAAACCGAATGGTTTTGACCCGCTTTCTTGTCTTCTCGCCACTTGGGACTTACCATTCCGGTTCAGTCATCTGCAGTCATTAGCGGGTGACAAGGGGTCTGTCCCCTCCACTAGCACTGCGGACATTGATAAGGTAAAACAGCTGGTTTTTCTTCTTCTCACGCAGGTGTGCCAAACTCCAGGTAAAATAAAGATCACAACCCCAGTCAGACGACCAGCTACTATATGAATTAGAAGGGGGGTGGGGGGGATTAAAGCCTTTGGGCACCTTTTAAACGACCTCTCACACTCTCGTACCTCGGAAGGGAGGCGCGCCTCGGGAAACACGGAGGGCGGGAGAGTTTAAATCCCCGAGTCCCCGCCTCCTGTGTGCCGCATGCGCACAGCTCCCCGAGCCGGCCCCTCCGAGGGCCTTCTGCGCTTGCGCGGGAACACGGACGTGGATCCACGCGGTTTGAAAGTGAGTGGTGCTGAAGGAATGGCGGCGTCCGGAGTTGCTGCGGGTGGTGGCCATTGGTTTTCGGCTTTGGCGCTCGGGGTCACCTTCCTCAAATGCCTTCTCATTCCTACCTAGTAAGGACCTGCACGGCCAGGGGCTGGGCGGGAAGGCCCCGCGGTGGGTCGGCGCGGGAGTGAAGCCAGTGGTAATCCTGGGGATGCCAGGGAAGGAGAGCGTCAGGCCCTGCGCTCAGCACTCCGCCTTTGGCGGGAGCCCCGCCGTGCGGGTGCAGAACTGCTGTAACCGCTGCGGCTGGCTAGGGCTCCCGAGTCATCTTAGAGTCTGTGGGCTCCTGGGTCCTCCTCCTGATTGGCGGGTTTAAGATCACCCGCCGACACCGTTCCGCCAGGGTCGGCCTCTGCCTCTGGCACCAGCCACTCAGTGCTCTCAAGCGCCCACATGCAGTGGAGGGCAAAACAGTTCCAGATCTTCCCCTCCGTGGAGTTGATGGCAGCAAATAGACCAAAGAGGGAAGCTTCAGAGTGTGAAGGAGATAGTGACTACGTGGCAGAGCCTTGACTCCTCTTGTAGGAGGTGATGTTTTAAGAGTTAAAATCCAGAGAATGAAAAACTAAGCAATGTAAAAAAAAATCAGTTCAAGAATAATGAAAGTAAAGTGCAAAAGTCCCGTGATGGAAAGAACTCGGAGCATTCTAATTGTAGAATGTACTCACTGTGGGTGAAGAGCAATGAAGGAGGAAAAGTGACACAGGTTAATATAAGCAGTGGCAAGATGACACTGGACTATTAAGATCATATTTAAGGGCTGAAAATGTGGCTCAGTGGTAGAGCGCTTGCCTTGCATGCATGAGGCCCTGGGTTCGATTCCTCAGCACCACATAAGCAGAAAAAGCCAGAAGTGGTGCTGTGGCTCAAGTGGTAGAGCACTAGCCTTGAGCTGAAGAGCTGAGGGACAGTGCCAGGCCCAGAGTTCAGACCCCACGACCAAAAGAGAAAAAAAAAAAAAAAAAAAAGGATCATGTTTAGGACAGTTGTGTGAAAAACGGCTGCAAGGCTACAACTGAAAGTATGGAAACCAGGTACCAAGTGGTAGTGTTTACAATATTGATATTGATGTTAATATCAATAACAGTTTTTGCCTTTCATGCTTTCTGACTCTTTGGTCTCCCCCATATCCTTTTTAATCTAGAGGACAGTAGACAAGAGTTTATTTTCCTTGCAGAATTTAAAGAGCTCAAGACTTGGATATGTGGTCTGAAAACCGGGAAACTGGTTAAAAGTCAAGTTTCATTTATTTGCTTGTTTCAGTGCTAGGGAATTAGACTGTTTACACATGCTAGACGGCACTCTACCACTAAACTGTATCCCCAACCCAAGTCACTGTACTTGCAGTCCCATAATGTTGGCCATCATATCTGTTCCCCTTCTTTTCTGAAGCAATGAAGTAGAAGATTCTCTAGATCCAGAGGTACAAGGTACGTGGAAGGAGCAAATGAGGCAGAAAATGGAAATTAATTGGAAATTTGTACAGAGTGGCTCATTCCCCTTGCCTTCTTTACCATGTTTCTTCAGCTTAGTTGCAAAAGCAGAAAATCAGAGGTTTCTTTTCTAGGGAAACTAAAACAACCCCACAGAAAAGACTAGTGAAACTCAATTATGTACCTGGTTATCACAAAGTGAAGTTTCCAGAGGAAACTAAAAGCACTGAAGGAAATTGATACAGTGCAACTAGGAAAATATTCCTAAACTTCTTCAAATATTCTAAATGTTCTCCTAGAAAAAGACACATCCAGAACACAGAAATATAAAACAAAGTATTACATAGTTGACAGTGAAACCAAGAAGTAAATAACACTGTCCAAAGTAGAATAAGTTACAAGATCTTAAATTAGAAGAATGTCAGCATCTTTCTGATACAGGGAGGGAAATAAAGGAATGAGACTGAGATTCTTAGGAGAAAGTTGTCACCATGGAAATGTGTCAAATGTACCGGGAAGTGTTGTGTAACCTGTTGACAAGATTGAGCCCATCCTGTGTCCAATAGGAGAGGAGCCACAGTATAGACAAATATTACTCTAAAGAGAGAAGATACTTGGATGGAGGGATAGAGAGAGAGGGAGAGAGAGAAAGAAAGAAAGAAGAAAGAAAAGAAAGAAAAATTTGGACACATGGAAAGCAGAGCAGAAGCCTTTTTCTTCCTTTGCTTACCACGGAAGACCTTTTCTCAGATCTCAGACTCCTGAGTATGTAGGATTATAATTGGTTGTCAGCTAGAGAACATCACTTCTAAGTAATAGCCTGAGGACTTTATGCTTTTAGTTAGCTCTTCAGAGAGCCAGATAGCTCTGCAGCCCTATCTTTTTTTTCTTTTTTTTTTTTGGGGGGGGGGGAGGAGGGGGTCTGGTTGTGGAGCCATAACTCTGGGCCTGGGCACCGTCCCTCAGCTCTTCAGCTCAAGGCTAGCGCTCTACCACTTGAGACACAGTGCCACTTCCAGCTTTTTTTTTTCTTTTTGCTTATGTGGTGCCTGAGGAATCGAACCCAGGGCCTCATGCATGCAAGGCAAGCGCTCTACCACTGAGCCACCTTCCTAGCCCCCTCTGTAGCCCTTTTAACTGACTTAAACAACTTCAAGAGGAACTTTGACCTTCCAACCTCCAGATAAGCGAGCAGCTTCAGGATTTTCTAATGCATGTTTGTGTCTTCATAGGATAGTGAGCTGTGATTGTTATGGGGATGTCAGTCTTTCTGACTAAATTAATCTCCATTTTATTTTTCTCATTGTGTAGCCATTCCACAGATTTTGAAGTACACCGAAACTGGCTTGCTATCACTCACAGTTTGCCAATATCCCAGTGGTATTATGAGGTAAGTTAAATTTTTTTTTATTTTTATTTTATTTAAATTTGGGGGGAGGGGCTGGGAAGGTGGCTCAGTGATAGAGTGCTTGCCCTGCACGCATGAGGCCCTGGGTTCAATTGTTCAGCACCACATAAGCAGAAAAAGCCAGAAGTGGCGCTGTGGCTCAAGTGGTAGAGTGCTAGCCTTGAGCTGAAGAGCTGAGGGACAGTGCCCAGGCCCAGAGTTCAGGCCCATGACCGACAAAACAAAACAAAACTTTTTTTGGTACTAAGGTTTGTACCTTGTGCTTGCTAAGCAGGTGCTTCATCACTTGAACTGTGCCCCTTAGCCCTTTTTTGCTTTAGGCTTTTTTTTTTAATGGTCCTGGGGTTTGAACTCAGAACCTGGGCACTGTTCCTTAGCCTCTTTGTGCTCAAGATTAGCACTTGAGCCACAGCACCACTTCTGGCTTTTTTGAGTAGTTTATTGGAGATAAGAGTCTCACAGGGACTTTTCTGCCCAGGCTGGCTTTGAAGTGTGACCCTCAGATCTCAGCCTCCTTAGTAGGATTACAGGCATGAGTCACTTGTGACCAGCTTTTAGTTATTTTTTAGGTAAGGTTTTGCTTTGAATTTTTGTTTTTGTTTTTTAGCCTCACACCCACCTTGTTTCTTTAGGCCAACTGGAATTATGATCCTCCTATATAAGCTTTCCTCATAGCTGGGATGACAAGGGCAAACCACCAACTCCAGTTTCTATTGGTTGAGATTGAGGTCTAGCTAAATTTTTGCTTGATCTGGCCTTCCAGATTGATGCTTTCCTAGTAGCTAGGATTATAGGTATGAACCACTGAGTTTAGCTCCACTCCCAAATTATAAAAATATGTGTCAAAATTCAGGAAATCATCTAGATTTCTGAAAACTAAATGGCACTTGTTTTTTTGTTTTTGTCAATCATGGGCTTTGAACTTTGGGCTGGGTGCTGTCCCTGAGCTGTTCAGCTCAAGACGAGCATTCTACTACTTAAGCCACAGTGCCACTTCTGATTTTCTGGTGGTTAATTGGAGATAAGAATCTCATGGACTTTTCCTGCCCAAACTGGCTTTGAACTGTGATCCTCAGATCTCAGCCTCCTGAGTAGCTGGGATTACAGGTGTGAACCACTGGCACCTGGCTAAAAATGGCACTTTAAGGGTAGAGTGCTCTCTGACATTTAAAATTGTAACTAGAAACTGCAAATGTTAATGAAATCTAAATTGACAATTAAATGTATTAAAATTACATAAACAGTAATTTTGAAACTTTTTATTTTTCATAACCCTAACAGGAAATCATACATCCATTTGTATTATAAAGGCTCTGCTCCATTAATGAACCACTAAAATGGAAATTTCATATTTTTAAATCAGTATTGATGTTTTTTATCCTAAATTTATCAATGAATTTGATAGTGTGTGTGTGTGTGTGTGTGTGTGTGTGTGTGTGTGTGTGTGTGTGTGTGTGTGTGTGTGTGTGTGTGATGGTCCTGAGCTCAAATTCAGGGCCTGGGTGCTATCCTTAAGCTTTTTTTTTTTTGCTGAAAACTAGCACTCTCATCACTTGAGCCACAGCTCCACTTCCAGCTTTTTTTTTTTTTTGGTGATTAATTGGTGATAAGAGTCTCGGGGACTTACCTTCCTGGGTGGCTTTGAAACATGATCCTCATATCTCAGCCTCCTGAGTAAGCTAGGATTACAGGTGTGAGCCAGCAGCACCTGATTTAGTATCTTTTTTTTTTTTTTTAAATGGTGGTATAGGGGCTTGAACCCAGGATCTCACACTTGATTGGTTGGTACATTATCATTGAACCTCATATCCATCTGGCTTTCTGCTTATTATTTTGGAGGTGAAGTCTAGGAAATTTTTTTGCCTGGCCTTAAACAATTATCCTCCAGATCTCAGTGTCTTGAGTAGTTAGGATTGCAAGCATGAGCCATAGTTATCACTGTCTTTTTTATAAACATATGTCAACTGTATAAAAGAAGAACTAGGCACTGGTGACTCATGCCTATCATCCTATCTATTCAGAAGGCTAAGACTTGACAATCTCAGTTTGAAGGCAGCTGGGAAAGATTCTTATCTCCAGTTAACCAGCAAAAAGCTGTAATTGGAGGTGTGGCTCAAATGATAGAGTGGCAGCTATAAGCAACAAAGCCAAGCCAGAGGGCAAGGCCCTGCATTCAAGCCTCAGTACCATCACACAATTAATTAATTAAAGTAGTAATGTTAAAATGTTAATAATAAAAAATGTAATTTTTAACTTCTCTTTCCACAGTTCATTGTTCTGTTTTGTTGGCAATTTGGGGTTAGAGAAGGAATTTTTCAAAGTGTAGAACTTAGTAAGTCAATTCATAACCTCAGTGCTCTGACAAGGGCCTCTGGGTTTGCCTCATATGAGGCTTCTGTTACTTACACTGCAGGGAGAGTAAATTCATCCTCATAAACAGAAGATTGGGCTAAGAATATAGGTGAGTGTCAGAGCACTTGCTGAGAGTGTATAAAGCCCTGAGTTCTTTCCCCAGCATTGCAAAAAAGAAATAAATAAAATGAACAGAGAGCTAACAAGTATTTTGCCTAAGTCTTTTTCACCTCTCTTTATTTTTTTAATCACTGAGAGACCCTGTGATTAAACCTCTAGTATACCTGTAGAGGAAGATTTTTTTACTCTAGAGTAAAAACTGCAAAGTAGGCACATTATACTGGTGTCAGTTTTTGTAGGTTCAAGGCCTGTCTTTAATTTTTCAGGCATTCCACAGTGAGAGAAGTGTGTGTATGTGTGTATGTGTGTGTGAAGACAAGGTCTTGCAACATAGTCCAGGCTGCTCTCAAACTCCAGCTTCCCAAGCAGGAGACCAGCCTTCCGCCTCAACTTCTCAAGTGTGTGGCTTATATGCATGTACCATACCCATAGTGTTCTGGACTTTTTTACATAGGACATTAAAGACCAGATAATGAAATTTTTTTTATATGACGAATTGTTTATTCTCAATTTTAATACACTTTATTTTTTGAATTTATTGTCCAATTTGATTTCATTCAATGCTAAAGAAAATATAATTCCAAAAGAAAGGAAATAGGGATAGATGTTCAGAATCAGGAGAGTAAATGAGAGCTTTAGCCTCAAGAACAGACCTTCCATATTTTGAGAGCTTTGCTATTTTTACCAGGACTAATAGATTAATCAGCAGATTGAGAATTTAACCTACAAGGAAAAATGCCTACTTCAATCTCCATATGCTATCAGTTTTTCAAATTAGCTTGCAATAACATTGATTTCATCCACTGAATGTTTCCTAACTATAAACATTTAAAGACTCTAGAAAAATGAAATTTTTTAATTGTTTATTTTGTTATTTATGATGTATTTTTCCTTTGATTTTTATCCAGTCAACTTCAGAGTGGACCTTGGATTATCCTCCCTTTTTTGCTTGGTTTGAGTATGTCCTGTCACATGTTGCCAAATATTTTGATGAAGAGATGCTTAATGTATATAATCTGAACTACTTCAACTCAAGGACCTTACTCTTCCAGAGATTTTCTGTCATCTTTACAGATGCACTCTTTGTGTATGCTGTTCACGAGTAAGTCCAGAAAGTATCTGTGGAGATATTTGTTTGTACGGAGGGGACTGAAGAAGCATAGTATCTAGTACTGACTTATTCCCAACTTAGAGGAACCAAATTCATATTATTGCAAATGCTACAATGAAAAACTGAGTTGTATCTTAAACCATGAATATTTACAGTGAGCAGTTCTGGCAGAGTCTTGTAGAACAAATAGGCATAAGGAGAAGTTTCAGATATCTTTGAAGAGATTGTGAATGTTCTATAAAGAAGTAGTTTTTCTCACCAGAATATCTCCACATGCTTTTCTTTCCCTCCTTGTGGAAAGCCCTTCAGGAGCTTCTGTGATCTGCCCTGTTGTTTGGGACCCACACATGCATGTAGTACATGCAAACTTGTACATGTGTCCATGGTGCTAACCACCAAAGTCTGTTCTTAATAGAACTTGGGAAATCTTGCCAAATGCTTTTTGTTGTTTCTGGATTCTTTATGAAGATTCTTTTTTTTTTTTAAGTTTGAACCTTTCTTTTATTTTTATTTTTTATTTTTGCTAGTCATGGGGCTTGCACTCAGGGCCTAGGCACTGTCCCTGAGCTTCTTTTTTTTTTTTTTTGTCAGTCCTGGGGCTTGAACTCTGCTTGGGGCTGTCCCTGCACTCTTCAGCTCAAGGCGAGCGAGCGCTCTACTGCTTGAGTCACAGCACCACTTCCAGTTTTCTGGTGGTTAACTGGAGATGAGTCTCATGAATTTTACTGCCTGGGCTGGCTTTGAACCGTGATCCTCAGATCTCAGCCTTCTGAGTAGCTAGGATTACAGGCGTGAGCTACTGGCACCCAGCTTTTTTTTTTTTCCCCCCAGTCCTGGGGCTTGAACTCTTAGGGCCTGGGTACTGTCCCTGAACTTTTACTCAAGGTTGGCTCTCTACCACTTGAGTCACAGCACCACTTCTGGCTTTTTCTGTTTATAAGGTACTGAGGAATGGAACCCAGGACTCTATGCATGCTAGACAAGCACTCTACCACTAAGCCACATTCCCATCCTCATGAAGATTCTTATTTTAACTGTGTTCCTTTTTTTAAATTTTTAATGGTTATTTTTCCTTTTATTTTATTAATTTTATTTATTTATTGTTTATGTGGTACCAAGGAATCAAACCCAGGGCCTCATGCATGCTAGCCAAGCACTCAACCACTAAGCCACATTCCCTGCCCTTAACTATGTTTGTATCATATTTATTTTTTTAGTTTTTTAAAATTATATTTTATTAGCATACATTAGGTATATAAAAGGGGTTTTATTGTGACATTTCCATCCATGCATACAATGTATTTCAATTAACTTAACACCTCTATTAGTCTCCCTTATCTCCCTTCCCTCTTAAAACAATTTCAACAGGTTTCATTGTTCTGTTCACATATGCATACAAACTACTTCAGCCATTATCATCCACATTCACTTGCTCCTGCTAATACCATTTTATGTTTTGCATCTTGTGCTTATAACTTAACTTTAAGCAGCTAAAAACACAGGTGTCATTTGGGTACACCTCGTACCTGTAATTTCAGCTATTCAGAAGGCTAAGATCTGAGGGTCGAAATTTGAAGCCAGCAAAGACAGAGAAATCCCTGTGAGACTTACCTCCAATTAACTGCCCAAAAACTGGAAGTGGAGCTGTGGCTCAAAGTGATAGAGCACTGGTTTTGAGCAGAAGAGCCAAGGGACAGTCCCCAGGCCCTGAGTTCAAGCCCCACAACTACCAAAAGGAAACAAATAAAATACATGTCTTGTACATTGACTTCCAGATAATGTTTTTAGTTAATATTGGCTTCTGTTTGATCATAGTACTTAAGGTCATGGGTGTGATTTTTGACAGTAGTGACTGTTCCTTCAGTGGCCCTTGTCATAAATATATCATTTCTATTTGTGAGGCCCTCTGGACTCTTGTCCAAGTCAGGAAATAGTCCCTTGGGAATATTTTAACCCTGCTTGTTCTTATTGAGTAACTTGTGTTTAACTGCACAACTTTCAATGTTTATGACCTTGCCATAGTTGGAAAAGAAAGTGCTTTGTAGTATAGTCCTTTCAAATAAAAATGTTTTTGGGTTCAGACTCTCCAGTAGACAGACAGACAGGCAGGAATGTATTTTCATCAGCAAAGTAGAGGAAGCAGTTAAATGAAACGGTTAAAGTCTGGGTACTGGCTCCCCAAACTAGACGATGTGTTCAGATTTGTTTTTACTTATTTATCTATAGTTACTATATTTACTTTTTGTACAGTACTAAAAATTGAACCCAGAGTTTTGAGCTTGCTAGTCAAGTACTCCACAACCTGAGCCCTACCCCTGGTCCATTTGCTTTTAGTAAGCTTTTCAGATGGAGTATCATGCTTTTGCTTGGGCTGGCCTCGGACTGTTCCACCTACCAAGTAACTGAGTTACAGGAATGTGCCACCCAGCTAGATTATTAATTTGTTTAGTTTTCTTAATTATTCTGTAAAGTTATTCATTTTTTAGAAAACTGAATGTGGCTGGGAAGGTGGCTCAGTGGTAGAGCGCTTGCCTTGCATGCATGAGGCCCTAGGTTTGATTCCTCAGCACCACATAAGCAAAAAGAAAAAAGCCGGAAGTGGCGCTGTGGCTCAAGTGGTAGAGTGCTACCCTTGAGCCAAAGAGCTGAGGGACAGCACCCAGGCCCAGAGTTCAGGCCCCACGACCAGACCCCAAAAAAAAAAAGAAAAGAAAAGAAAACTGAAGTTTCCTGAGACCACCTTTTCTAGTCCCCCTTTAATTGCTTTTATTATTCATACTATAAGAGTCTCATAGCCAGGCGCTGGTGGCTCACGCCTATAATCTTAGCTACTCAGGAGGCTGAGATCTGAGGAATGCGGTTCAAAGCCAGCTCTGCCAGGAAAATCTATGAGACGCTTATCTCCAATAAACCACAAGGAAACCAGAAGTGGTGCTGTGGCTCAAATGGTAGGTACTAGTCTTGAGCTGAAGAGCTGAGGGACAGCACCCAGGCCCAGAGTTCAAGCCCCATGACTGACCAAAAGAAGTCTCACAAATTTCCTGCCTGGGCTGGCTTTGAACCATAATCCTCAGATCTCAGCCCTCCTAACTAGCTAGGATTACAGGTGTGAGCCACTAACACCTGGCTTTCCATGAACTCTTATCATCAATAAATTACCAAAAAGCCAGAAATGGAGCTGTGGCTCAAGTGGTAGAGCACTACCCTTGAGCAAAAAAAAGCAACTAAGATAGCACTCAGGCCCTGAATTCAAGCCCCAAGATAGGCACACGTATACACACACACAAAAGACTGATACTTGCTCTTTTATAATCATCACCACTAACATTTTGGTGCATTCTACACTAGAGTATTTTGAAACATACTTAGTATAAAATAAAAATGGGATTATTTTCTCCTTTCACCTACTGCTGTCACTGTCTCAGCAGTAACATACTTTTTTATATGGCTTGTTCTTAATTTGGCCAATATGCTCTCTAGTTCAGATACTAAACGCCTTGGTCCTCATTTTTCACTACCCTTCTTTTTTTGTGGGGGAGAGGACTGGAATTGAACACAAGGCCTTGGTAAGCATGCACTCTACTATGACCTATACCCCTGCTCCTGCATTTGGGGTGGGGGTGGGGGAGGTCATAGGGCTTTAACTCAGGGTCTCCGTGTTGTCCCTGAGCTTATGAGCCACCAGGGCCTGGCTGCATTTTTACTCTTAAGAACTGAAATAATGTGTATCTTCTTGATTTTTTAAAAATCTTTATTTTTGATTTTTTTTCTTAATTTTTTTTGTTTTATTAAATATACTCTGAGATCATCTCTTAGCTTCCAGTTTTTCAAGCAACAAAATAGCATAGACAGTTGGTCAAGAATGGCTCCCAAAATGGACCATAGTGTACTCCACAGAAAGCACTGTTGTATTCTAGTGAAGATGAAGTTGTGTCTGTTTATTTTCTGATGTGTCAACATAGGTGCTGTAAATGCATTAATGGAAAAAGAGCAAGTAAAGAACTTACGGAGAAGCCGAAGTTTATTCTGTCAGTGTTACTGCTATGGAACTTCGGGTTGTTAATTGTGGACCGTATCCTTGATAGTGTACTAGTCCCCTACTTATTCTGCTGTACTTTAATAATTAACTTTTTATAGTGATGATTATCAAATGTAAGTTGCTTTAGAAAATAGGCTACTGGGCTCCTATCACCTTGCTTTCTGCACAGGTTTACTGGACTCTGGTTGTTAGGATATTTTGTTCCTGGAAAGTTAATGGTAACATGTAAGAATCAGTTAAATTTTCTGTACTATATGTGTGCATATTGCAATCTGTTGCTTGTCTTTAGATTTATCTAACAAATGTTATAACACATTGTTCTAAATACCTTTCATAGGAAAGACATAGTGAACTTATGGGAACATTCAGGACTTCATGTTTTGCCACTATCTCAGCTTACCACATATTAATGAAGTTCTTAAACACAAAGGGTCTGAATGTAATTAAAATCCTAATGAAAGAAGCCTAATATTTTTCAGTCTCCATAAAAGTAACTAGTGTGGAGGAAAACACCCAGGTTTTGTTTCAGTTTGATCTGACTGTAGTCTTAGTTATATTGTCATACAGTTTAGTAAATTAACGTCTCTGAGCCTTATTTTATTTATCTGTAGAAAGTATGATTCTAACAACCTCACAGATATTGTGATGCTTAATAATGACATCATGTAGCCAGGTACTGGTGGCTCAGGCCTGAAATCTTAGCTACTTAGGATGCTAAGATCTGAGGATTGTGGTTCATAGCTAGCCCATTCAGGAAAAATCTAGAAGTGGAGCTGTGGGTCAAGGGGTAGAGTGCTAGCCTTAAGCAATGGAAGCTCTGGGACAGCCTCCAGGCCCTGAGTTCAAGCCACAGGAAACCCCCCCCCCAAAAAAATAAATTATCTGTGCTTCAAACAATAGAACAGCCAGTTGTAATAGTATATGGTTGTAATCCCAGTACTTGGGAGGCTAAAACAAGAGGATAGTGAGTTTGAGGCTAGCCTAAATTGCATAGAGAAATCATGTTTCAAAAAACAAAAGAACAAATGGGAATCCTGCTCACTGACTTTCAGTGGCTGTGGGGTCCCTTCCCTCTTCATCCCTAATTCTAAAAAAACCAAAACTTCTTGGCTTTTAGCTGCCTGGGCCCTTAAGGTATGGAAACATTTTTTGCTTTTCTTCTTAAACATAAATTCTAATTCTAGGGTTTGACTCTTTATAGAAAATGTTTATGGGAAGCCAAATTAATAGTAATATTTTTGTCTAATTTTAGCATATTAAGAAGGCATTTACATTTTCTATACTTAACTGACATAGTTCTTTTAGAATTTTTTATCCTCTTGTTTTTCCTTGACATTCCCCCAGATATCCATTTCCAGTACAATGGGTTTTTATTTGGATTAATGCTACTCTCCATTGCACGGTTGTTCCAGGTAAATACAAAGCACCTAATTCGATTTGAACCCTTTGATGTTTAACTTGTAAAGGCAACATTGCAGTGGGTGATGGATTACTTATTTGACCCACCGTTTAGTCTCTTAAGTTTTATAGACACAGGGTATTCTCAAAAATTCTGTCTTTTGACAAGTTTTCTTCCTTTTACACATGAGAAAAATTATATTTGAAGAACTTAATAGAGTGTGGCAGGCCTGAATTAAGCTTGAGTTTTGTGTTTGGTGGGGGCCATTTCTGTAGGTAGAAATTTCTGGCAATTTTTATAGCATAGTACGTCTGCTGGTGCTTTGCCATCAAATGCTGGTAGAAAAATAGAATGGGAAATAGAAAATAAGGAATCAGAAAAAGTTGGGTTAAAATCTTGACTAACACTGAGTCACTCAGTCAAGGGCTGCACACATGTATTTGCTGAGTTGGAGTAATTGCATGGAATGTCTTACTGAATAAACCTTATAAACAGTCTATGAAATTGTCTTAATAATTGCCATCCTTTTATAGAGGAGAAAATAAAAATTTTAGGTATCTGGGCCACTCCTCCTTAATCTGAATCAGAATCTCCTGGATTGGGGTTTAGGAATTTCCCAAGGGATTTTAATATCTCATGCAACAAGTTTGGAAGTCTTTGACCAAAGACAAGTCATTGGGAATGATTGTATATCATACATGAAATTTACTCCTGTATTCTTCTTTTTTGTAATGCAAAACCTATCATAGATACTTTGGGAAGATCAAGTTTAATAATCTGTTTTAAAGTTCTTTATTAGCTATAGGGGCTCAAAGTATGGCTCAGTGGTAGAGGACTTGCCTAGCATGCCTGACACCATGGATTCAGTACCCCACACTGTAAACAAATAAATGAAAGTTTTTTTTGTTGACTATAAATGTCTTGATAAACTTCTCTTAGCCACAAAAAGCCACATAGTAGCCAAGTGTGATGGTGCATTTCTGTAATTCCAATAAGAAATAGGAGACTCATGAGGCAGGAGGATTATAAATTTAAGACTATATATAGTGAAATCTTGTTTCAAAAAAGAACACTGTGGAAAAAGTCACTTTGAACATAGAACATAATTGGTGTGTACCATGAATGATTATTGGATGGTTCTCAAATAAGCAAATAAATAAAATTCAGGCTTTTTTAGTTTACTCTAGGGGGTTTTGTTTGCAGTTCTAGGATTTAAACTTGGGGCCTCAGCTTGCTAGGCAAGCACTCTACCAATTGTACAACACCCCAGCCCTTCTTTGCTTTAGTTTTTTTTTTAATAAGTTTTTTATTGTGAAAATACTGTACAGAGGGGTTACAATTACATGAGCTGAGCAAGGTGATGAGTACATTTCTTATCAAGCATTGTTGCCTCCTCCTTTGTTTTTCCCCTACCATCCCTTCCCTCCCAACTCTACAACTACACTCCCCCTCCCCCCAACTCCCGGTTCCTATTTAAACTATTTGTTTTTTCCCTTCCCTGCTTTAGTTATTTTTCAGATAGGTTCTTGTATTTTTTATAGGATTCAGACCCTGATCCTCCTGCCTAAGCTTCCCATACATGGCTAGGAATGCCACAATCAATTTACTTATCAAACAAGGTTTCACTAACTGTTTATGTGCCAATGCTGGGACTTGAACTCTAGGGGCCTGGGCACTGTTCCTGAGCTTTTTCGTTCAAGGCTAGCATTCAACCACTTTGAGCCACAGTGTCACTTCCAGTTTTCTGGTAGTTAATTGGAGATAAAGAGTCTCACTGACTTTCCTGGCTTTGAATCTCAATCCTCCTATCTCAGCCTCCTGAGTAGCTAGAATTAGAGGCATGAGCCACTGGTGCCCTGCTTGACTCCCACCCCCCTGCTTGGTGGTGGTTTAATGGGAGATAATGAGTCTTACAGACTTTCCTGCCTGGACTGGCTTCAAACTGCTGGCAATGTGGCTCGAGTGGTAGAGTGCCTGCCTAGATAGCTGAAGGCCTTGAGTACCCCAGGTCTACCTTTTTTTTAAAAAAAAAAAAAAGGGAGGGGGTTGTATTTAGCATAACATCATGTAGAGACTCTGGGTGTGGGTGTGGGTGTGGTATGTATGTTGGTCCTAGGGCTTGAACTTAGGCTGAGTGTTATCCCTGAGCTTTTGTGCTCAAAGTTAGTGCTCTACCGTGTGTGTGTGTGTGTGTGTGTGTGTGTGTGTGTGTGTGTGTGTGTGTGTGTGTGTGTGTGTGTGTGTGTGTGTGTGTGTGTGTGTGTGTGTGTGTGTGTGTGTGTGTGTGTGTGTGTGTGTGTGTGTGTGTGTGTGTGTGTGTGTGTGTTGGTCCTAGGGCTTGAACGTGGGCTGGGTACTGTCCCTGAGCTTTTGTACTCAAGGCTAGTGTTCTACCACTTGAGACACAGCTCCATTTCTGGCTTTTTGGTAATTAGTTGAAGATAAGAGTCTTACACACTTTTTTGCCTGTGCTGTCTTTGAACCACTATACTCATCTCAACCTGAGTAGTATTTCAGGCATGAACCACCAGCTTTCCAGCCCTGTTTGAAAACAAGGTATGGGAGTAACTTAACTGCTCTGGCTGTTTCTAGTAGATCCTGTGTCTCAGCATTAGTGTTTTTGTTTTGTTTTCTGCTGTTAGTAACGGAGCTTGAATTCAAGGTCTCAAGCTCTTACTTGGCTTTTTTACTCAAGGCTTGAGCCACACCTTCACTTCTGGCCTTTTTACTGGTTAATTGAAGCCAGCTCAGGTTGTCAAACTGTGATCTCAGCCTACTGAGTAGCTATAATTATAGGCATGAGCCACTAGTGCCTGGTTCAGCATCAGTTTTCATACTTAAGAATCACTTGTCGAAATAGTGAATGTGTAAGTCAACTAGACATAAGGTCAAACTGCCTTCATTATAGAAAATTTAAGGCGCTGGGAAGGTGGCTCAGTGGTAGAGTGCTTGCCTTGCATGCATGAGGCCTTGCGTTCAATTCCTCAGCACCACATAAAGCAGAAAAAGCCGGAAGTGGCTCTGTGGCTCAAGTGGTAGAACGCTAGCCTTGAGCTGAAGAGCTGAGGGACAGTGCTCAGGCCCTAAGTTCAGGCTCCACAACCGAAGAAAAAAGAAAAGAAAATTTAAATCATATAGAAGGGAAGAGTAGTACAGTGATCTACATGTAGGAGGAATATTTTTATATATAACGTTAGCGTATTTCATTTGTGTTTTAGAATATATCTTCTAAAAAAAATAGATTCTACTTCAGGTGTGGTGTTTCATGCCTATAGTCCTGTCACTAGGAAGGCTGAGACAAGAGGGGTTTTTGTTTTGTTTTTTTGGTTTTTTGGGTTGGTCGAGGGGCTTGAACTCCACTTGGGTGCTGTCCCTGCACTCTTCAGCTCAAGGCTAGTGCTCTACCACTTGAGCCACAGCACCACTTCTGGTTTTCTAGTGGTTTATTGGAGATAAGAGTCTCACAGACTTTCCTGCCCAGGCTGGCTTTGAACCATGATCCTCAGATCTCAGCTTCCTGAGTAGCTAGGATTACAGGCGTGAGCCACCAGCACCCAGCTGACAAGAGGAGTTTTTGAGCCCAGAAATTCTAGGCCAGCCTGGACAACATAACAAGACCTCAACTTTAAAAAAAAAAAACTTTTCTTTTTTCTTCTTTCTTTTTGCTTGCTCTTTGATTTTGAGATAGAATCTTATTGCATGGTTTAAGCTGTCCTCAAACTTGAAATTCTCCTCCCTCAGCCTTCTAAGTCGTTTTCTACTTTCTATTCATTGTTTTTTAGAATAACTTTAGCTTTATGGGAATGTTGCAAAAGTAGTTCAGAGTTGGAGTTCTTGAATCCCTTATTCATTTTCCCCTAAGGGTACCATATTACATAACTGGGCATTCAAGATTAAGAAACCACCCTGGTTTATGTTCATTTTGCCATCTTTTTAACTAATGTTCTTTTTCTGTTTCAGAGTCCAATTCAGAATACTTCATAATTGCATTTCATTTACTTTGAATTTTAAAGTACTGTTCCCCTTCTCACTGTCCTAGAAAAGGCATATGGAAGGAGCATTTCTCATTGCCACCCTTCTCCACTTCAAGCACATCTACCTCTATGTAGCACCGGCCTATGGTGTATATCTGCTGCGATCTTACTGTTTCATTTCAAGCAAACCAGGCGAGTGTCAGTGATGATAGAAAAATCTTTTTTTTCCCTTCATTCACTGTATTGACTTAGTGGCTTATTAATAGAGTATTATGAAGCACAGCATGTACCTCTCAGTTTTAGACCCTGTAAACCCTCTACCATCCTGACTTCTCTGCTCTTTCCATATGGTCTAGTGTACAGCTGGGTGGAATGGCATATAATCCCATCTTTCAAGGGGCTAGAGCAGAAAGATCTTGAATTTGAGGCCAGTCTGGGCTGTATATAAGCCACTATCAAAAAATGAGGAAGATCAGTATCCTGTTGGGGGTATCTTGTAGTTACTATTGGGGGACACTTGTCCATGCGCTTGATAATGACAGTGTTCCCTTTCTGCAGATGGCTCTGTCCAGTGGAACAGTTTCAGTTTTGTCCGTGTTTTTTCCCTGGGACTGATTGTCTTCCTAGTGTCTGCTCTTTCATTGGGTCCTTTCCTAGCTTTGGTAAGTTTATTATTATTAGTAGTAGTAGTAGTAGTTATTAGTAGTAGTAGTAGTAGTAGTAGTAGTATTGGTTTATATTGTAGGGGGAGGGGTTATTGTTACATCTCTACACATGTTTATATTATTCTAATCAATTTCATCCCCTCCCCTTAAACATATCATCCCCAACAAGTTTCTTTATTCCATTTTCATGGTTGCAAATAATTTAGTTTGACAATATTCAACCTCTTTTATCCTCCCCACAAGCATAATACCGTCTAGCCTTTTTCTTTCTTTCTTCTTAATTTTTTTAAAAACAAAGCAATATACCATGTACTGGTGGCTCATGCCTGTAAATCCTAACTTCTCAGAAGGCTGAGATCTGAGGATCGCAGTTCAAAGCCAGCCTGGGCAGGAAACTGTGTGAGACTTCTATATCCAATTTAACCCCCAGAAAGCTGGAAGTGGCACTGTGGCTCAAAGTGGTAGAGTGCTAGCCTTGAGCAAAAGAGCTCAGGGATAGCACCCAGGCCCCGAGTTCAAGCCTCACAGCTGACATAAAATAAAGTAATACATGTTTTTGTTTTGTTTAGAAAAAACAACGAAGCCAAGAATGTACGAAATAAGTAAAAACTAGTCCTTTCTTACTTCATGTACCTCTTATGACCTCTCAAAGGTAGTGTTCCCTCAGACATTTTTGTGCATATTCACCTTTGTATAGGTTAACTGAAATGTTACTCACAAAATTGATCTTCATTATTTGTGGATTGCATATTTCAAAATTCACTTACTTTCTAAAATTTATTTTTAACTTCCCCCCCCCAAAAAAAATCAGTATTTTGCAGTCTTTACTGGTCAGCAAGTATTTTCAAGTGCCTATAATAGATGTTCACATTTTTTCCTTTCCCACCCTGAAATGGGTTTTAATCCTACTGAAACAGAAGAACCTTCATGTTCTCTGCCCTGCTCTCCCTTCACTCCAGGAGACCCAGATCAGGTGCATTTTGTAATCTCCTTTGCATCTGAAAGACCTTCATTGTATTTACTCCAGAACAGCATGGACTGAGATTCAGAGTATTTCTATGCGTCTTGTCCCAGTGGTCAGTTCACAAAAGTGGTTTCTGAACTGCACAGCATCAGACAACCACTTGCCCAAAGGAACAAAGACTTCCTAATGTGGGCCACATTGTGCTCTAGCCAGTTCTATTTTTGAGCTTGGAAGTGTTTGATGACTATTTAATCAGTTTCATTTCTCTTTTCAACAGAACCAGCTGCCTCAATTGTTTTCCCGACTCTTTCCTTTCAAGAGAGGCCTCTGCCATGCATACTGGGCTCCAAACTTCTGGGCTCTTTACAATGCTTTGGACAAAGTGCTGTCCATCATCGGTATGGTAGCAGGTCTTCTCCTAGCCTGTGAATGCTGAAAGGACTGGTCACTGGGAGAAATGGACAGCCTGCTGTGTTTTGAATGTGGCAGAACTGTTTGTTCTGTAGTCTTGAACATCAGTTATCAGGAACAACAAGGCAGCAGTTTTTGGAGCTGAGGCTTTAAAGCAGTAAACAGACTGCATTCTTCATAAAAGCTCCTTGTGGCAATGAGATGTGGGTCTCTGAGGGGAAAAAAAAAACTAAATATTTAAACACTTTTTAAAGGTAACTTTTGCCTAAAGGAAAACATTACTCAGCAGAATTTAACCCACATTTAAGCTTAAATATATGAAGAAGCAAGGAAAGAATGTGTAATTTGTGACTGTGAGTTTCAAATCAATAAAGTGATATCCCTGCATTTATGCATGAGAGGAACAGAAATAAAATGCCTGAGCTAGGCTTTTTAAGTCTGGCTTTTTAAGTTAAATACAGGCCTTAATCTGGCTCTGCTAACAATAATTCACAATGAAATAGTTTAGTCTGTCATTGTTTTATTTATTTTGGGTTTTTTTTTGGTGGTACTATAATTTGAACTTGTGGCCTCATGCTTGCTCTTTGAGCCCCAGCCTCAGCCTCTCATTTGTGAATCCAGCTGAGCATTGTGGGAAAATGCAGGACCAGGAGCCATGGTTAGCAAAGTTTTCTGTAGTGTATCACATATATAGTATTTTTGTTTTGTTTTGTCCTTTAAAAAATGTGAAAAACTGGTATGATGACCCATGTGTATAGGCCCAACTACTTGAGTAGCTGAAGCAGGAGGATCACTTGAGCCCAAGAATTCAAGAGTAGCCTAGGCAATATAGTGAGCCCTGCTTTAAATAATAAAAAAAAAAAAGTAAAAATGTAAAAGTCATTTATATACCTTCACTGCTATGGAAAAATGGCTCTGAAGGCTGGATTTAGCCCTTAGCCTATAGATTTGTTGACTTCTAATCTAGATTTTGCAAGACTTGGTGTAAATTGTTGCTGTGCACCTTACCAAGTCATTACATTCCTGTAGTCTTACTTTACTTATTACTGTGGGGAGTCTACTGCTGAAACTGTTCCCACACAGTGTGATATAAGGAACAAAAGCAAAAAAAAAAAAAAAAAATGGTGGATTGTCAGTACCAGAGACTTTGGAGCTAGACATACTCAAGTTTAGTCCTACCACCTATTAGTCATGTGGCTTTCAACAAATTTGCCCATCTGTCTGCCTTAAGGAGCTAAAAGTAATGTCTACTCTCGGCACATGGCAAGTAGCTCCTGTATGGTAACTGCTATTAACTGTCATGTACTTACTGGAACTTGTAATTTGGTAGCAACATTGTCACTCACTGTGAGTCCAGCCTTAATATACAAGGCGCTCTTGAAAAGTAATTTCGAACAATGTATTTCAAAAAAGCTTTGAACAGCCAGCTTGAGCCAGATTGAGATCCAGGGCTGAAACTGCTATGAAAAACTGCTATGCCTCCCCTGGAGTACCTACTTACAAAGCACAAGCAACTGTGTTTCAAAGAAATAGTTGTTAGCTTTAAAAGAAAATCAAAAGCTGAAGGGAAAGGGAAAGGAGTAAATAAGTAGAAAATACTTTGATAGTCTTCATCTTTCCTACACTGCACTGACTTTGAATGGCATTAGTCACAATTGCATAGGTGCTTAGGCTGAGACTATTCCTGTTGCTCTGGAGCTTTTTGGGATAGAGCTAGACTTAGATCATTTGATAAGAATTTATAGAGTTCCCATGTCTGGAGATAGAAATGAATTCATCATTTGTCTCTAAGACACATGAAAGGAAATGAGTACATAAAAACAGTGTGCAGTGAACACTAAAATACAGAGCTCACAAGAAACTCAGCTTTCTCGGTGAGTAAAGAAGGAGTTATTTTGGCAAAATGAGGTCATTTTAAGCAAAGCCTCAGAAAGAGACATAGTGTTAAGTTATGTGTTGGGGATACAGTTAGTTTCATTATGGCCAGGCCACACTTAACACTGTAGAATTGAGGCTGAAGAGGTAAGAAGGGACTAGATCATGGAAGACTTGATAAGCCAAACCCTGTAGGCTGCACAGATTCTCCATTCTAGTCATAACTTACAACTGATTATAATTGTAAAAGCCACATTCTGGAAGAGGTAGGATAGTACAGATGAGTTCATAAAAGCTTGGTTTGAACAGCAATAAGATTTACTCATTTATTTTTCTCAAGGAATTGACTAACAAAATGTGAAGTTCCATTAACAAAAATAAAGCAAAATAAAATGTCTACTTTCTGTGTAGGTTTGGAATTGAATCTTCTCAACCCCAATAAGATCCCCAAGGCCTCAATGACTAGTGGCTTGGTTCAGCAGTTTCAGCACACGGTCCTGCCCTCAGTCACACCCTTGGCAACCCTCATCTGCACCCTGATTGCCATGCTGGTAAGACCTCAGCAGTGGTACTCATTTCTCCAGTGTGTTTCTCTGCTTTGCTTACTGCCTGGCTGATTGAATTTCACCTTTCAGGCTTTTCCAACTGCAGGATAAATTCCATGGCTGAAATCCTACAGACTGAAATATTGCCTAGCAATTCTTTTTTTGCGGGGGGGGAGGGGAGAGGGGTCCGGTCCATGGAGCCTGAACTCTGGGCCTGGGCGCTGTCCCTCAGCTCTTCAGCTCAAGGATAGCGCTCTACCACTTGAGCCACAGCGCCACCTCCAGCTTTTTTCTTTTTGCTAATATAGTGCTGAGGAATCGAACCCAGGGCCTCAGGCATGTAAGGCACATGCTCTACCACTGAGCCACCTTCCCAGCCCTGCCTAGCAATTCTTAAAGGAACTTTGAACACAGTAAAGAATTATCATAAAGCCTCTCTGTCAGAGATTCTTGCCACTGGTTATGAGACCATCTGTCTAGTCTGGCATGGGGAGGCCAGGGAGGAGGAGGTATAGACCACATGGTTGAGAAAAAGGAAATCTTTATGGCAGGAATATCTACACTTTGTTTTGTTTGTCAGCCTTGGCAAAATGATCAGAATACATCTGGCTGGTGCATGGATATTATGTCTTAATGAACTAAGAGTTGGCTGTGGCTCTATGCACATCAGTCTACTGTGGGTCGGATGTGTTACAACTTTCATTCACAGTGCATGGATAGAATTTTAATAAGAGTCATTGTAAAGCTCAGCCCTGTTGATAGTTGATGCAGTTTTAATTTTTGTTTCCAAATGATTGAACCTACTAGCAAAGATATCTGACTTCTTAATTATGTGGCAGAACTGGTATGTAGGTAACTAAGCTCATATTTTAACCAAGGCAGATGTGTTTTTTTGTTTTTGTTTTTCTCAAAATCTCAAACCATAAGCTTATACAAAAGGTAATAGTTTTACTGTAAATCACACTCAAGCTCATAGAACCAGATACTTATTTATTAATAGTGTAAAATCTAATTTACTAGTCCATAAATGTGTGAACTTGGGTAGTTTGACTTAAGAGGTTCAGTAAATATCAATTAATAATATAGCTGACTAATAATAAATCTGTCATAAATGGTTATATTGTATATCCCAGAACTTATCATTTCAACTTATTTAATAACTAGGATTAATTGTAGTAAGTTAGATTCATGCTTCTAAATACCTGCTTTTCCCTTTAAAAGTTAGTTAACTTTCAATGGACTGTGCACAAAGGGATAAATTACCCAGTTCAATGAAGCATTGTCTAGAATCTCCTGTTTTTCAGAGATGATGCAAACTGTACTTTCCTAAATACTTTCTTATAAAGCCAACTTGAAACTATACTGAAATTTTATCTTTGCCTATTGTTTCTAGCCCTCTATTTTCTGTCTTTGGTTTAAACCCCAAGGGCCCAGAGGCTTCCTTCGATGCCTAATTCTCTGTGCCTTGAGCTCCTTCATGTTTGGGTGGCATGTCCATGAAAAAGCGATTCTCCTTGCAATTCTCCCAATGAGGTAAGCTAATAACTTGGCAATCAGCATTGCTGACCAATTTCACTGTTTTCCAACTGCTCTGCTTCTCTCTTATTTTGTTCAGTGGGATTAGATAGGCAAAGGCAAAGGACAGATTTCCAATAGGACAGCACAGGAATGTTTAACTTAGGCCCATGAAGGTTCGTAGGGGAGAGGAATGTCTATCCAGAGAACCATATAAAGGCCACAAAATCATTTGGTACATGACAAGGTAGATACATTATACTTCTTGTGGGTTGCCTACAGCCATCTGCATATATTGAATTTTGTGTGGCTTTTGAATGATGTTATAAATATCCAAATGGCTGTTGGGGGGGAAAAAAGGTTCTCCTTCCTGTAAAGTGTGTAAAAATGCATGTGTTTTTTGTATTAGATTAGCATGATAGGTCTGCATAGTGAGTGCAGCATCATTTGGAAAGCATGAACTTTGGCATTACTACATCTGTGAAAATAAAGTTCCATGGTTTCTTATTAATTGTCAGTCAAGTAAGGTCTGACTCCATTCTGGAATAATTCTGTAACATTTATACTGCACCATAGATTTTCCAGAACTGTTTTGTTTTTGTCTTCTTTTGAGCCTCAACAATCTTTTTTTTTTTTTTTAAATTTTATTTTATTTTATTTGAAAACATACCTCAACAATCTTTAAGGTACTTAGCATACATTTGTATCATTCTTATCTTAGCATCAGCAGGTACTCTGACTTGGAGAGTTCATGACTGATCCAAAGTAACACTGTTAAGCCAGATATGGCAACATACGCCTATGTGTAGACCCCTGTGTAATAGATGCCATCTGGGGCTGTTGCTTAGTGGAAGAACACTTGCCTTGCATGAGGCCTTGGATTCCAGTCTAGAATCACAGAAAAAATAAAGCATGCACTTTCTATGCCTAGCAAAAACACTCCCAAGCTTGGCATAGCAGTATACACCTGTAATCTCAGCACTAGAGAGTTAGAGTCAGAAAGATAGAGATGGTAGATAACCTGGGCTACACAGCAATACAACTAGCAAATAGCACTCAGAGCTTAGCCTGGTCTTTTGATGCTAAATCTTGTGGTGTTTTCACTCTGCTATTCTAGGGTGGGGAAGAGAGGGAAAAGGCATTGTAAATGCAGTGCTCATAATTGGAACTCAGTAGATAGATGGTAATGGAATCAGCCTTTTTTCTGGAAGTTTGTCTCAAAGCTTAAGGAATCACTTAATCTCTAAAAAAACATTAAGCAAAATTTTCAGGTCAGTCCCTGTTTCTCTGGGTTTATTTAGCAACATGGAATTTCCAAATAAAAGGAGAGCAGAAGTTTTAATATCTGTGTGTGTGTGAGAGAGAGAGAGAGAGAGAGAGAGAGAGTGTGTCATGGGGCTTGAACTCTGGGTCTGGGTGCTGTCCCTCAGTTCTTCAGCTCAATGCAGCTCTCTACCACTTGAGCCACAGCACCACTTCTGGTTTTCTGTTAGTTATTGGAGATAAGAGTCTCAGGGACTTTCCTTGCCCAAGCTGGCTTTGAACCGTGATCCTCATATCTCAGCCTCCTGAATAGCTAGGATTATACGCATGAGCTATCAGTGCCTGGCAGTTTTTAATATCTTTAGTCAGAACATCATACAGGTGCAGGGCTTTGTGTACAAGACAAACTACAGGTTTGGGAATGAATTTGAGTCCTGTTTCCCTGACTGCTCCCTCCAGGCACCTCCCAGCCCCACAACATCCCTTTTTTTTTGGAGAAGGCAATTAGTCAGGAAAGTGAGCCGCACTGTTTGTATTCCTAGATTCAACATGGTACAATATTATCAATTGCTTACCAAATGGATATTTTTTTTTAATTTTATTTTATTTGTGAACATACTGTACAGAGGGGTTACAATTACATGGGCAAGATAATGCATACATTTCTTACCACGCATTGCAGCCTCCTCCTTTGTTTACCCTTCACCTCCCTTCCCAGCCTCCCCCCTCCCCCGCACCCAATCCTTCCCCCCCTCTCCCCCCCACCGACATTGTAAAGCTCCTTTTTGACATGACAACCAAATGGATATTTTCAATTGAACTGGACTTGTAGCAGAATCAATATTTATTTTATGCATAAGCCAGTTCTAAGAGTAACAATAGATGCTGTATTCAAGCTTTTTGCAAGTGTAGTTTAAGTTGCTTTAAGAAATTATCATAATCCAGGCACTGGTGGCTCATGCCTGTAATCGTAGCTACTCAGGAGGCTGAGATCTGAGGATCGCAGTTCAAAGCCAGCCCAGGCAAGGGAAGTCCATGAGACTCTTCTCTCCAATTAACCACCAGAAAACCCAAAGTGGCTGTGTGACTCAAGTGGTAGGGCTCTAGCCTTGAGCTAAAGAGTGCAGGGACAGTGCACAAGCCCAGAGTACAAGCTCCAAGTTCAAGCCTCATGACTGACAAAAAAAAAAAAAAAGAAATTATCATAAAAAAATTTTATTTTTAGCCTCTTATCCGTGGAAAAAGCAGGAGATGCTTCAATTTTTTTGATTCTGACCACAACAGGACATTACTCTCTCTTCCCTCTGCTCTTCACTGCACCAGGTAAGCAGCTTCTTTTGACTTTTGACTAGCATTCCCTTTTCACCCAGGGCTACACATTAGGACTCTCTGACTTAACCAATCAACACTATAATCTCTCAAAAGGAGAAAGCTCATGTGTTCTCTCATTTTTGCCCCTAATTTTAAGTATACTTAGATGTCACAAAAAAAAGTGTGGTCAAGTTCATTAATTTGACATATTACTGTGTCCGTGTGCTTATATTGCCTTAATTATTAGAGACCTTTTATCTGTCAACTAAGCTATCATCTGTATTTTCTTTTGACAGAGCTTCCCATTAAAATCTTACTCATGGTACTGTTCACCATTTACAGTGTTTATTCACTGAAGACACTATTCAGGTAATTAAAAAAGTAAATTTAAAGTTATATTTACTCTTGTAAAATACTCCGTTAAGAGTTAGATAAGCCTGCCGGGCGCTGGTGGCTCACGCCTGTAATCCTAGCTACTCAGGAGGCTGAGATCTGAGGATCGCGGTTCAAAGCCAGCCCGGGCAGGAGAGACCTTGAGACTCCTATCTCCAATAAACCACCAGAAAACCGGAAGTGGCGCTGTAGCTCAAGTGGTAGAGCGCTCGCCTTGAGCTGAAGTGCTGAGGGACAGCGCCCAGGCCCAGAGTTCAAGCCCCACGACCGACAAAAAAAAAAAGTTAGATAAGCCTTTGAAGTTTTGTTTCACATTATAACAATAGTATAACATTACCATTTTTTTAAAATTGCTAAATGCAGCAGTAATACTCATTAGACACTATGTTGAAAATGAACTGTACAACTTGTGGGTCAGGATGGGAGAGAAAAACTCATAGAGTTAGGGAAGGGGTGACATTGTCCAAAGTAAATGTACTCTTCACCTGATTTATATAACTGTAATCTCCCTGTACATCTCCTTTTAGTAACAATAAAAAAATTAAATAAAAATAATGATTTAAATTTTTTTGTTAAATTTGCTAAGTGGAAGGATAAATTACCCATATAATACATTTATCAGGACAGCATTGATTGTATCTTTAGTTTGGGGGAGTATTCGAGAAAGACCCCTTTGAAAGCCAGGTGTAGGTGACACATAGATACTTTAGGAAGCACAGACAGGAAGATGGAGAGTTTAAGACCATCATAGACTACATAGTGAGAACCTGTCTCAAAAAAAATAAAATATAATATGAAAATTAAAACCGGAATGTGAAATATGCATTATAGGTAAAATTACAAAATACAGAAAAAATGGAAAAAACTAAAATTATTAAAAATTATTACAGAATTATGAGAATAAGTTTTTGCTTTTCTAACTAATATTAGGACTATATTTTTTTTCTTTTTTCTTTTACTGGGGCTTGAACTCTTGGTTACCTTTTTCGCTCAATGATGCCACAACTCCACTTTTGGCTTTTTGCTGGTAAACTGGAGATAAGAGTCTCATGGGGCTGGGGGCTGGTAACTCCCCCCTATAATTCTAGCTACTCAGGAGGTTGTGATCTGAGGATCATGGTTTGAAACAAAAAACTTCATGACAGAAAATTCCATGAGACTTTTAATTCCTACTCAAGAAGCTGAGATTGGATGATTATAGTTTAAAGTCAGCCAGGGCAGGAAAGTCTGAAACTCCATCTCTAAAATATCCAGCAAAAAGCCAGGCTGGAGGCATTGCTAAAGTTGTAGAACCACCCAAGCAAGCACAAAGCTCTGTGTTTAAACTTTAGTATTGGCCAAAGAAAGGTTAAACTATTGGGGCTGAGAATATGGCTTAGTGGTACAGTGCTGGCCTAACATGCATGAAGCCCTGGGTTCGATTCCTCCGTACCACATAATAGAAAAGGCCAGAAGTGGCACTGTGTCTCAAGTGGTAGAGTGCTAGCCTTGAGCAAAAGAAGCTCAGGGTCAGTGCCCAGGCCCTAAGTTCAGGTCTGGCAAAAAAAAAAAAAAGGTTAAACTATTATTGATGCATGCTTACAAAAATATATTAAAAATAAAATATAAAGTAGTAAATTTTGTCTTATTTATACTTTAGCAAATTTAAAAATGACTTTGAATCCTCAATTATGTACGTATGGTCTTAGCTACTATGCTAGCTAGCACCCAGTCCCTTTCTCTATTCCATATGCAGGGCTAATTTTGTGTGAGTAGATTCAGCTAAGTGATACCATATGTAGATGACTGGGAAAATTTGGATTGCCAAGGTACTATAATAGATCATTAGTATTTTTGCTACTTGTGAGGTTTGTTCAGTCTTCTGACTCCAGCCTTGGCTGCAGTTCACATCACAATGTGGCAATGGGAAGCTTTAGCTGGGGAGTGTTTACTAAACCAAAATGGCTTATCTAAAACCAGCCCTTTTCTCTTTTCCTTCAGAAAAGAAAAAGCTCTCTTAAACTGGACTGAAACTTTGTACCTCCTTGGCCTAGTGCCGCTGGAAGTCTGTTGTGAATTCCTGTTCCCTTTTACCTCTTGGAAGCTGAGGTATCCTTTTATCCCTTTGTTACTGACCTCAGGATACTGTGCAGTGGGCATCACATACGCATGGTTTAGGCTGTACTGCTCAGTGTTGATTGGCCCTTTCATCGGCAAGACAAAGAAGCACTAAATAAAGGAACTGCTTGGATGTACGCCAAGCAATTACTTCATGGGAAATTAATCAGAACCTGAAGAAAGTTGCCAGTGGCATGAGCCATTCATTTCAGTAGATCTGTTCAGAGGACCATTTTTCCACATTTGGCCTTGCCCAGCCTAGCAACCTGATTGTTGCCATGGTGAGAAGCCATTTGCCCTCTACATGCACTGGAACACATCTGAAAAAACTTCAACCTTTCCTTGTGAAAGTTCTCTGAGATCATTCAGACTGTCGAGCTCACTGAAGGCAAATGGAATCTGATTAGCAGGATATAAAGCTTAATTAGATTCCAATACTGAGAGAAATATTTCCTCTGTTCAGAGAGAAATGTAAATAAAATGCCATTTTGTATTTCTGCACAAAATACTTATAGATCATTATCAGCTCCTACATTTTCCTATTGGAGTGTGTGCTGGCAGATGGTGTGCTGGCCCCCGGTCTGTACACCTTGTTCCAGGAAAGTTTGTTTGTTTCCATTGAAATGATAATAATCACCAACACAGGGAGAATATTTAATGCACTGTTTTGGCCAAGCAACAGAGACTTCAAACCACAACTGTTCTTACATTGAGTTAAGGACATCTTGTTCAGCCTTAATTATTCTAACAGCAAGCATTGCAAGTTTGGATAAGGCTGCCATTAAAACTTCCTCCTGTGAGCAAATGACATGGTTTTTGCAGATTTGTTTTCCCTCCCTTCCTTGAGAGTACTTTATGCATTTTTTTACCTCGGTTTACCTAATGCCTGCTGTGTGTTCAAAAGCCAATATATTTCCGGGCTGGGAAGGTGGCTCAGTGGTAGAGTGCTGTCTTGCATGCATGAGGCCCTGGGTTCGATTCCTCAGCACCACATAAGCAGAAGTGGCGCTGTGGCTCAAGTGGTAGGGTGCTAGCCATGAGCTGAAGAGCTGAGGGACAGCGCCCAGGCCCAGAGTTCAGGCCCCACAGCCAAAAAAAAAAAGGCGCCAATATATTTCTGGCCACATTTTATTTACTCTTCCCCTAAGAAGAGGCAGTTCAAGGTCCATGGCATTCTGGATGCTAATCTGGCTATTGCATCTTTTGCTAGGGGCATGGCTCAAGTGGTAGAGAACCTAAGTTCAAACCCCAGTTACCCCATGTCAAAAACACCCACACTTATCCTATCTCAAAAATCAAGTTGTTTGTTGCACAGGTAAATATGGGAATCTGACAAAAGGAAAGGGAAGTATGCCTCCTCTAGTCCCTCACGTCTCCTCTGCATCCTGTGCTCAGGTCACAGCATGGGAGGTAGTGCCATTTCCTCCAAGTGAAGGTAGCACTGCATAGTAACTGAGAGTCAGCCTGGCTGGAATCTGTAGGCAAATTATCTTAGCAACCTTTACCTCAGTGTCCTTAATGTCTCAAATGAATATGTAAAAGATTTAGAACCTTGCTACCTGAAACAGCTTGTATTCAGTATATAGAGGTTGCTATTTATATGCATTCTTCCATCTCCCTTTCTTTTTCCCTCCCTTGAAATTTTGCACCCCACCACATGTACATTCCTACTGCCATAAACAGCTGTAACATGAAAATGGACTATGTATTTGTTTTCCTCAGAAGATCACACTTACCTGGAGAAGTCCTGTCTTTGACATAGTTGAGTAAGTGAAGCACTTCACCCAGTCCTTGATTAAAATCCAGTTGTTAGCTAGGGGCGTGGCTCAAGGCTACAGTGCCTATCTAGCAATTGTTGTTCTCTGAGTTCAAAACCCAATACCAACAAAAATAAGCATTAAAAATGCAAGTGTTTGGGCTTGGAAGGTGGCTCAGTGGTAGAGTGCTTGCTTTGCATGCATGAGGCCCTGTGTTCAATTCCTCAGTACCACATAAAGCAGGAAAAGCCGGAAGTGGCTCTGTGGCTCAAGTGGTAGAGCGCTAGCCTTGAGCTGGAAAGCTGAGGGACAGCGCCCAGGCCCAGAGTTCAGGCCCCACAACCGGACCCCCCCCCCCAAAAAAATGCAAGTGTAACTGGTACAGAATGCTAACACAAAGAACTCTGTGTAGTTCTTCATGTTTGTCAGTTGTGACAAGCCAAAAAATTTAATATGCATTTCAGTAAGACCAAACTTGATTACACTTTGCAGGTTGTTACTGTGAAAGTGACAATGGCAAAAGTGGAAGTGCTCAGAATGCTACAGAATGTTCTGTAGTACTCTCCAAGTTTTTCAGAGTTTCCCTAAAGGCTCTGGGTTCTGCCCACTTTCCACCAAAGCAAATACGCTTTGATATATTTCACATATTAGACCTCATTTGTGTTGCTTTTGGGTTTTTTTGTTTTATGGGCTTCTTTTTTGGTCGGTCGTGTGACTTGAACTCTGGGCTTGGGTGCTGTCCCTGCGCTCTACAGCTCAAGGCAAGTCTCTACTGCTTGAGCCACAGCGCCACTTCTGGTTTTCTAGTGGTTTATTGGAGATAAGAGTCTCACGGACTTTCCTGCCTGGGCTGGCTTTGAACCATGATCCTCAAATCTCAGCCTCCTGAGTAGCTAGGATTACAGGTGTGAGCTACTGGTGCCTAGCTATTTGTGTTTCTTTGACTTCAGGTCAAAGTACAATATATGTCCAGAAGGAAAATGATTCCAGAGACTGAGAGATATCACATTGATGCCAACACTTAAGTAGATCCCAGACTTCTGGCCTGATACCCAGTTTTCTACTCAATATTCATATTTTTTAAGGTTTACAGAGCTGTGGGTGGTTGTCAACAAATTTTAGAAGATAAAACTAGTTGGAAGTGTTACTTCAAAATATTTTGAAATCTAGAATTAAGCAGTCAAAAACAAGATTAAGGCTTGGCACAGTGACTAATGATGGTAGTCCCAGCTATTCAGGAGACAGAGATTCCAAAGATGACAGTTTGAGGCCAGTTCTTGTAAAGAGTTAGATCCTTTCTTAACAAATAAGTAGGGTGTGATGACACACATTGTAATCCTTGCTGGGTGGGAATAGGTAAGAAGACTGCAGTCTAGGCTAGCATGGGCAAAAATGCAATACTCTGGGGCTGGGAAGGTGGCTCAGTGGTAGAGTGCTTGCCTTGCATGCATGAGGCCTTGGATTCCATTCCCCAGCACCACATAAGCAAAAAAAAAAGCCAGAAGTGGCGCTGTGGCTCAAGTGGTAGAGTGCTAGCCTTGAGCTGAAGAGCTGAAGGACAGCGCCCAGGCCTAGAGTTCAGGCCCCACGACCGTACCCTCCCCCCCCCAAAAAAATGCAATACTCTAAAAAAACTAAAGCAAAAAGGGCTGGTGTTGTTGGATCTAGTGATAAAACACCAGCCTAGCAAGTTCAGGGCCCTGAGTTCCAACTCCAGTACTGCAAAAAAAGAAAAAATATTAACAGAATTTAAAGATGCATAACCCATTTCTTACCTGTCTAATATTTTGAGAAAGAAAGGTGAATCAGACTTGTTCTTGTTCACTGTTTCTTTCCCCAGGAGGAGTAAACGTATTGCTGGTGGGATGGTTTTTCTTATGAATGACTTGAACCAGGAGACTGAAAGACGCACTTAAATATGAGGGATCTACACCCTCTACAATCCATGCAGCTTCTGTTTGCAGTTAATGGGAGGAAAAAAAATTCCATTAAAATATGACCTTTTGTTCTTCAGTAGTCCATGGAATTATACTTACTGCATGATAGTAAAAAAAAAAAAAAAAAAAATGCTTTGACTCATCTATCCTTTTGTGCTCTAAAAAGTCAGACTTTTGTGCTAATGGCAGCTAAGAATGATTTTCTAAGCCTCAAAAACTTGAATCAATACAGCCATTAGTTTCTCTCATAGAAGTCTCATATACACCATCTCTATTTTGCAGAAAGGTTGATAACAGTGCTAGTGTGTTTTTTGTTTTTTTTTTTCCAAACTCAAGACTCAAAATAAAAATAATATGTTTATCCAGGTACTGGTGGCTCATGCCACCAGGAGGCTTAGATCTGAGAATCACAGTTCAAAGCCAGCCCTGGCAGGGAAGTCCATGAAATTCTTTTCTTTTTTTTTTTTGGGGGGGGGGGGTGTTCGGTCGTGAGGCCTGAATTCTGGGCCTGGGCGCTGTCCCTCAGCTCTTCAGCTCAAGGCTAGCACTCTACCACTTGAGCCACAGCGCCACTTCTGGCTTTTTTTCTTTTTGCTTATGTGGTGCTGAGGAATCAAACCCAGGGCCTCAGGCATGCAAGGCAAGCACTCTACCACTGAGCCACCTTCCAGCCCAGTCCATGAAATTCTTATTTCCAATTAACCACCAGAAAATCAAAAGTGCAATGATGGCTCCAGTTGGTAGAGTGCTAGCCTTCAACAGAAAAGCTCCACAATCAACAACAAGAACAAAAACCATACTTGTATGGTTAAACAGCTCCTTAAAGGACAAGATCCATCGATTATAGGTATCTCTGTACAGCCCTCCAAACAAATAGAAAAATAAGCATTTCTCCAAAGAAGATAGACAAGTGGTCCATAAACAAATGAAAAATGCTGAACTGATCATCACAACTATAATGAGATATCATCACCTCACACCCTTAGGATAGCCAGCATCAAAAGAACAGAAAGCTGGGTGCTGGTGGCTCATGACTGTAATCCTAGCTACCGAAGAGGCTGAGATCTGACGATCATGGTTCAAAGCCAGCCCAGGCAGGAAAGTCCGTGAGACTTTTATCTCCAATAAACCCCTAGAAACCAGAAGTGGCACTGTGGCTCAAGTGGTAGAGTGCTCGCCTTGAGCTGAAGAGCTAAGGGACAGCATCCAGGCCCAGAGTTCAAGCCCCATGACCACCTCCACCAACAACAAAATTACCATAGGGTTTGATCTCTGGCACCACAATCACTGACCCCAACTTATCCCACCCAAAAGAAAGAAAACAAGAATTCTCACGTGATCCAGTGATCCCATGTAATCCTATTTCTAATGTATACCCCAAGGTATTCAAAGCAGGGTCTCAATGATATTTATACACCTGTGTCCACAACTATGGCATTATTCACAATAGTTAAAAAATGAAAGCAACTTAAACATCAGTGGACAAATGGAAATGTGCTTTATACATATTATGAAATATTATTCAGCATTAAAAAGGAAGGAAGGGCTGGGAAGGTGGCTCAGTGGTAGAGTGCATGCCTTGCATGCATGAGGTCCTGGGTTCGATTCCTCAGCACCGCATAAGCAAAAAGAAAAAAAGCTGGAAGTGGCGCTGTGGCTCAAGTGGTAGAGTGCTAGCCTTGAGCTGAAGAGCTGAGGGACAGCACCCAGGTCCAGAGTTCAGGCTCCACCACCGGACCAAAAAAAATAAAAAGGAAGGAAATTCTGTCACAAACTATACCTGAATGAATTGAGTGAAATAAGCCAGTCACAAGAAGACAAATGTCATAGCATTTTAGATGTGAGATGTATCTAATATACTCACAATACAGTAACAAAGATGAGTTGTCAATGTCTGGGAGGTGAAGAAAGGAAATTAGTGCTTAGTTTTTGTGTGTCTTTGAACTCAGAGCTTCACTCTAGCTTTTTTCATTGGAGGGTGGGGGGTGCTCTGTCACTTTAGCCATATCTACTTCCAGCTTTTTGCTTGCTTACTGGAGATAAGAATGTAACTCAATTTGGTAAAGCATAAGCAAAAAAAAAAAAAGCTCAAAGACAGCTCATGGCCCTGAGTTCAAGCTCCAGGACTGGCACAAAAAAATAAAATGGATACATCTATGTATCCACCACACAACTTCAAGTTTGAGTGTTGCTATCTTATAGGACTTCTTCCTTCTCATGCTTTTCCTTACAGTTTTTTGTTTTGTGTTTGTAGTGGGGCTTGAACTTGGGGCTTAGGCACTGTGCCTGAGCTCTTATGCTCAGGGCTAGCATTTGAGCCACAGCTCTACTTCTGGCTCTGGTGTTTAGTGATTAATTGGAGATAAGAGTCTCAGGAACTTTACTGCCTGAACTGGCTTTAAACCACAATCCTCAGATCTCAGCCTCCTGAGTAGCTAGATTACAGATGAAAAACTAGCTTTTGTGGGATATCAATTTATGATTTTCAAGAAGATATCCTTCATGCACACTTTTTGTGTTAGGTGAAAGGTAAATCTTTGCTGAAGGATCCTGAGGAAGAGGTAATTCTAGATAAAGGAACTGGTCTGGAAAAAAGGTAAACAGATGCAGCAGTAGTACTCACTAGACAGTACGTGGAAAATGAACTATACAACTTGCGGGTAGGGACGGAAGGGAAAGACTAGGACAAAGCTAACATTGTCCAAAAAGAAATGTACTCATTACCTGACTTAGGAAACTGTAGCCCCTCTGTACATCACCTCCATAATAACAAATTAAAGGGTTAAAAAAAAAAGAATGATTTTGCCCAGTTTGGCTCCTTCCATGAACTTCACTCCACCTGGTGGTAGCAGATGTCCAAACCTCCACCCTCCCGCCAGTCCGTGCCACCCAACAGGGGAGCCGCGCGGGCCCTTCCGCAGTGCGGAATTTCGGGAAGGGACTTCCGGCGGAAGCACGCTGGGGGAAGCGTTTGGGTGCTGCACTGCCGCGCTCGCTGCCCTTCAGCGGGGAACTGGGAAGGAGAGCGCCGGCGTCTCCGGCCCGGGCGGAGGTCGAGGTGGTCTTCTAGTCACTAGAGGTGTGAGGCCAGGCCTCCAGGGGGAACGACGTCACCATGATGGACGGACGGCCGGGCCGAGAGCCCTTAAGGTTCTTACCGGATGAGGCTCGGAACCTGCCTCCGCCCAAGCTGACCGACCCGCGGCTTCTCTTCTCGGGCCTTCTGGGCTACGGCGCCGGCCTGTTGGACAACGCGCTCCGGCAGAGGCCTGTCTTGACCAGCGGTGAGGCCGCGCGGGGCCGCGGGGTCGCAGGGCGTCAGGGCCTCGGCCGGCGCCGTGGGGCGCCCTGGCGGGGCGGGGGAGGGGAGGCGATCGGGGGGCGGGGGGCTGCTAGGAAGAGGCGCCTGGAGGCTCTAAGTTCCACCTGTCTCGCGCTGTGCGCTCCACGCTCGGTTTACCTTATTCTTTTTTTTTTTTTGCTTGAAGAAACTAAGAAGCGAATCTCAGAAGGACCCTGGACTGCCCCCTGTCAATTTGCTGAGGGCAAAAATGAGCATTCTTCTCTAAGCCATGGCACTGCTCACACTTAGTGGGTATCCTAACATGGAGATCTCAAAAACAGCATGGGGAGGGGTTACCCACAAAGAATACAAGAGAGGTTAAAGCAGCCTGCCCAAGGTCACATGGCTAAACATAGCAGAGCCTGTTTGTAAAGCTCGGTGTGTATGTTTCTCAGACTTCCTGGATATGACAGTATTCTAGGGATTTTTGTTAACATGCAGATTCTGATTTCATAAGGTTTAGAGGAGGAGCCTGATGTTATGATCTTCCAGGTACTAGCCTGGGGCTGTGGCCTGTAATCCTAGCTACTCAGAAGATTGAGATCTGAGGATTGTGGTTCAAAGCCAATCTGAGTAGAAAAGTCCCTGTGACTCCATCTCCAAAATAACCAATAAAGAACAGGGCTGAAGGCGTGGCTCAAGAGGTAGAGCACCAGCATGAAAAGGAAAAAAAGCCAAGCAGAGATTGAGGCTCAGCATTCAAGCCCTGGTACCTGCATACCCACATTTTCACAATGCTGTTACTGCTCTTAGGCTAGGGACCGTACTTAGAATAGGAGGCTCAACACTGAGCAACGTGTATTTCCTATTATGTCTTGGCCTCCTGTCAGAATTCTGTTGATAATGATTGATACAGTACCTGTGCTGAGAACAATGGATCTTTTTGGAAAAGATACTTCTTTTTTCTTTTTCTTTTTTTTTTTTTTGGGGGGGGGGGCGGTCCGGTCATGGGACCTGAACTCTGAGCCTGGGTGCTGTTCCTCAGCTTTTCAGCTCAAAGCTAGCGCTCTACCACTTGAGCCACAGCGCCACTTCCGACTTTTTTCTTTTTGCTTATGTGGTGCTGAAGAATCGAACCCAGGGCCTCTGGCAAGGCATGCACTCTACCGCTGAGTCACCTTCCCAGCCCCTGGAAAAGATATTTCTTAACTCAGCTTTGATTATTAGGCAGAACTTAGAAAATGACCATTCTAAGTCTTTGGGAATAGTAGAAGCAAATAGAGGTAAGGACCTATGATTTAGGAGCATTTGATTTTAGTGTACAGGTAGGGTAATGAAATGAGGCTACAGAGATCACGTGGGTGACAATTCTCTAGTTAGGCAAGCTTACAAGCTTCTGAGAGCTGGAGGAGTGCAGTGATCAAAGCTGTGCTGTAAAGTCACTTTGTCAGCAGTACAAAAAATGAATCTGAGCTAAGCAGCACAGAGAAAAAGAGAATGAATTCAGAGACTCAGGCAACTAGAAATCACCCCATTTGAGCCTCTTTCTATGTCATACCTGGAGGTCAGCTCTGAGCCTATGAAGCTACCATGCTTAAATAGTGAAATCCCATCTCTTTGTACCTGACCCCTCAGTACAGAATGACCTTTGTCCATTTCCATCTCTAGGAACATGAGGTTGTCTCCCTTTTCACCTCACACTTGGCCAACCTGTCATAGGTATAATGAAAAGAACTCCACTTGGGAGCGATATAGCTGTGTTCCACTGCTTTCCAGCAGTCATTTTAGGTGTTCAGAGCCAAAGTTTTCCCATCTACAAAACATTAATTTGTACATGTTTGTTGTGGGAGTGAATGAGGTTCTATAGGTAAAATGTCTAATACACAGAAGGTCCTAGGCAAGTTCCTTTTCTTTATGATGAATTGTTACACTGACACTTAACCATTTATTTGTTCAACATTGACTTAACTTTTCTCTAGGTTACTGGGTGTATGGGATGAGAAATAGCACTCTTGTCCTTAAGTAGCTTCTAGTGAAGTCAAGGAGGCAAATAAGTAAATAATCCATTACTGATCTCTGGGTGAAGGTACATACTTTGATACAGACAGAGTGAGTAGAGTGCTTTGAGAGCAAGAAAGTGGTACAGATGGGAGGAAGAACATTCCAGAGAAAGTAAAAGTTGACCAAGATATGAAATACATACCACTTACTCTCATTTCATTGTTGTCAGTTTAGCATTTCTGAGAGAAGAACAGAGTAGCCATGTGGTTCTAGGGATGTTTTCTAATCCTGAGGAATGTAAGTCAGTGTCCTGAGTTCCTTGAATTGGCCTTGGAAATTTTGGATTTTGAAGACTTTATTGAAAGCATTCTCCTCAGCAGCATTTATTGGTTGCATATCATGTCTGCTTAGCTCAGTGTATGAGATCATGAATTCAGCTCCCAATACCAAAACCAAACAAACAAAAAACCCTTGGTCCCATTGTTGTTTAGGCCTGTAATCTTGGCTACTCAGGAGGCTGAGATCCGAGGATTACAATTTGAAGCCTGGGCAGAAAAGTCCCTGAGACTTTTATTTCCAGTTAGCCAGCAAAAATGTTGGACTGTAAGTATAGTTTACAGTAGAGCACCAGCCATGCACTGAAAAAGCCAGGTGAGAGCACAGAGTCTTGAGTTCAAGCCCTGATATTTGCATGGATAGGTAGATAGCCAGTGTAGAATGTGTAACTCAGCCATATACCACCAGTCCTGAATCCTGCTAAAAAAAACAAACCAACAGGCTGAGATCTGAGGATCATGGTTCAAAGACAACCTGAGCAAGAAAACCCACTTAACCACAGAGAAGCCAGAAATGGAACTGTGTCTCACATGGTAGAATGCCAGCCTTGAAAAGCTAAGGGATGGCACCCAGACCCTGAGTTCAAGCCCTAGTTCTGGCACACGCACACACACAAAAAAAAAAAATCTTGGAAAAGGTAGCATAAGAGTTGATTATACACCTGAACTGTTTAAAAAATGTAATCCTTTATGTACAATGACTAATTTTTACTTTTTAATTTTAGGTTTGCATCGCCAGCTTCTATATGTTACTTCCTTTTTTTTTGCTGGATATTATCTTTTAAGACGTCAAGAGTATATTTTTGCTTTGAGGGACCACGACATGTTTGCATATATAAAATCACATCCAGAAGATTTTCCTAAAAAAGGTATTTCAAGTTAATTGTGAAAAACCTTTCTTTATTCTGCATCATTTTCCCTGGTTAATCGTATCGGTGTTGTGGCCTCTGGTACTTCTTTCCTACTGGCTCTCCATCTTTCTCTTGAGCTCATATGCCCCAGACTGGACTAGAAGTCACCCTGTAGCCCTTGAACTTGTGATACTTCCACCTCTGCCTCTGCTACCATGCACAGCTTCTCCTTGAATTAATCTGTCCAGTTTCTGACTAATATCTTTGTACCTTTGTTTTCCCTTGGACAGTAAATGAAATTCATGTCCCCTCTGTCTTCCCAAACCATCTGCTCAAGTTTGAACTCTCTTCTCTTCCCATGGCTATTCCCCCTGGTGATAATCTCTTGCTTGGATGCTGAGCTTGACTCTAGTTCATTTCTGCCTTTGGCCTTACTTTTGCTAACAACAGGTTTGATCACACCTCTGTTTAAAATAGTTATCGAAGTTGGACATAGGTGGTTCACATCTGTAACCCTAGCTACTCAAGAGGCCAAGATCTGAGAATCAAGGTTCAAAACTAACCCAGGCAGGAAAACCCATGAAAAGCCAGATATGGTGCTATGGCTCAAAGTGGTAGAGTACTATCCTTGAGCACAAAAGCTCAGGGATGGGGCCCAGGCCCTGAAGTCAAGCCCCAGGACTTGCACAGATAGATAGATAGATAGATAGATAGATAGATAGATAGATAGATAGATAGATAGATAGATAGATAGATAGATAGATAGAGTAGATAGAGTAGATAGTAGATAGAGAGAGAGATAATAACGCTATTGATTGCCCCATAGAATAGACTTCTTAGGGTAGCACGTTTCCTATTCTCTGGTAGAAATACTGCCATTCTATGTCTTCCTCTCTAGTCTGTTGCCTCATCTTTATTTCCCCAGCTTCTAGCACATAGCCTTCACAGAGCAAGTAACCCTGTCTCTTCTCCCATCATTCATCTCTTCCAGGGTGCTACCAGGAGAATCCTAGCTGAAAGGTGAAGGCTTAAACAGAGAACAGGGATAAGCTAGGAGGCCAGCAGTTGATGTAGCCAAGCTCTTTGTATTCTTCTTTCTCAGTGCAGGAAGCTTGGGAAATATTTGTCCTCAGTCTGCCCTGTATTACTTAGACTGTGTTATACCTTCCTCCTAATACATTCTTCCTCCTCTGGCTCCATGCACAAAGCAAATTCCTATTCAAGATTTATCATCAATGAAGCCTTCTGCCACTGAATTTCCCTCAGCATATATTGTAGGATCAGGTTTTTAATCTGTTTTTGTGCCTATCCTGGGACTTGAACTCAGGGCCTGGGTGCTGTCCCTGAGCTCTTGTGCTCGAAGCTAGTGTTCTACCACTTGAATCATATCTCTATTCTGGCTTTTTTGGTGGTTAATTGGAGACAGAAGTCTTAGGCACTATTCTGCCCCAGATGGCTTTGAACCATGATTCTCAGATCTTAGCCTCCTGAGTAGCTAGGACAGGTGTGAGCCACCAGCACCCAGCAGTAGGATGAGTTTTATTGCTTGTTGTTATCTATGCGTACACACAGGTGAGTATAGATATAAACTCTTTGTATTTAACCTGCCAGGCTTTTAAAAAAAAATTTTTGAGACAGTGTCTTACTGTATAGCTTGGGCCTTCATTGAACTAAAGATCCTTCTGCCTTCATCTACCACTTGCTAAAATTACAGGTGTAGGGGGCTGGGAAGGTGGTTCAGTGGTAGAGTGCTTGCCTTGCATGCATGAGGCCCTGGGTTTGATTCCTCAGTACCACATAAGCAGAAAAGCCTGGAAGTGGCACTGTGGCTCAAGTGGTAGAGCACTAGCCTTGAGCTGAAGAGCTGAGGGACAGAGCCCCAGGCCCAGAGTTCAAGCCCCACAACTAACCAAAAAAAAAAGATAACAGGTGTATACTACCATATCTAGCTTTAACTAGGACAGTTTGTTTTCCCAGAGTTTCCAGTGTTTTGAAACATTCTTATTAAATACATGAATTAATATTTCAGTAACAGAAGTGACATTTTTGATATTTGATAGATTAAAAAAAAATACAGCTTGGGAAGCTATAATACTAGCCACCCAGGTGGCTTAGATAAGAGAACTACAGTTTGAAGCCAGCCTGTGCAGGAAAGTCCATGGGACTCATCTCCAATTAACAACTAGAAAACTGGAAGTACAGCTGTGGTTCAAAGTGGTAGAGTGCTAACCTTGAGCAAAAAAACCTCAGGGACAGTGCCCCCATCCCCTGAGTTCAAGCCGCAGGACTGACAAAAAAAATACAACTTTGAGCTAGGGATGTTGTAGAGCACTTGTCTAAAATGTGCAAGGCCCTAGGTTTGATGGGAGATACAATTTTGTTTGTTTTTTGCCAGTAGAAAGCCATATAGATGGATGTATCAGGAATGGGGAGTACTCAGATATTAGGACTAGAAGGAATCTTTGGGAAATATTGTTTCCTAGAAGTGAGGCCTAGTGGCTGAGAGTCTTTTTTTTTTGGGTCTGGTCATGGGGCCTGAACTCTGGGCCTGGGCGCTGTCCCTCAGCTCTTCAGCTCAAGGCCAGCGCTCTACCACTTGAGCCACAGCACCACTTCTGGCTTTTTTCTTTTTGCTTATGTGGTGCTGAGGAATCAAACCCAGGGCCTCATGTATGCAAGGCAAGTGCTGTACCACTGAGCTACCTTCCCAGCCCAGTGGCTGAGAGTCTTTAGCCCCAAGACTAGGTATTTCTAATCCCCTCCATCAGCAGGAGGGAACTAATGTCTAGATAGCCTCACAGCCTCCTCCTGTCTCTGGAGTAGCAGAGCCCTGCACTGACAGCAAGGCCACAGAGGCCTTGGCCACCTCAGCTACTGGTCTCCCCTAGCTTATCCATGCTGATCTGTTTATTCCTCCTATACCCTTCAACCAGAATACCCCCGGCAGCACCTTGTCTATCCTGCCAACCATGTTATCATCACAGATTCATAAAGAACATACCAATAATTAACAAATTCTTTTTTAGGGCAAGTAAAGAAATTCTTAGGGGTCTGTATTTATCCGTTAGATCTACATTAGAGTAGGTAATTTATAAACAATAGGAAATTGTTGCTCACAATTCTGGAGGCTGCTGGGAAGTTCAGATCAAGGAACCAAGAGTTCACTATCTGGTTTACTGGGCTTCCTGGGTGGCACCTTCTTGCTCTGTTTTCATATTTGAAGGGACAAAGAAGGGCTGGGACCATTGCTCAAGTGGCAGAATGCTCGCCTAGTATGTATGAAATCATGAGTTCAGTCCCTAGTATATGGGGGAAAAAAGTACAAAGACAAGCTCTCCTGTATTTTAGAAGGGCATTAATCCCATTTGTAACAGGATGACCAAATCACCTCCCAAAGGCCTCACCTCTTAACACTGTAGCTTGGAAACTAGGTTTCAACATGTGAATTCTTTGGGGGACACAAACATTGAGACCATAACAGGTAAGATTAAGAATGTAATTTAGTGTGTGTGTGTGTGTCAGTCCTGGGGCTTGAACTCAGGGCCTGGGCACTGTGTGTGTGTGTGTGTGTGTGTGTGTGTGTGTGTGTGTGTGTGTGTGTGTAATTTAGTGTGTGTGTGTGTGTCAGTCCTGGGGCTTGAACTCAGGGCCTGGGCACTGTGTGTGTGTGTGTGTGTGTGTGTGTGTGTGTGTGTGTAATTTAGTGTGTGTGTGTGTGTCAGTCCTGGGGCTTGAACTCAGGGCCTGGGCACTGTGTGTGTGTGTGTGTGTGTGTGTGTGTGTGTGTGTGTGTGTGTGTGTGTGTGTGTGTGTGTGTGTGTGTGTGTGTGTGTGTGTGTGTGTGTGTGTGTGTGAGAGAGAGAGTTCTGGGGCTTGAACTCAGGACCTGGGCACTGTCCCTGAGCTTTTTTGCTCAAGGCTAGCACTTTACCACTTGAGCCACAGCTCCACTTCCAATGTTTTTTGGTGATAATTGGAAATAAGAGTCTCATGGAGTTTCATGTTTGGGCTGTCTTTGAACTTCAATCCTCAGATCTCAGCCTCCTGAGTAGCTAGGATTATAGGTGTGAGCCACTGACCCCCAACAAAAAATACAATTTTTAAAACATAATTTTGAAAATAAATTTTTCGTGCTCTTTTATAGAAAAGAAAACTTATGGTGAAATTCTTGAAGAATTCCATCCAGTACGTTGAAGTCTTCAAAAACTTGCTTCTATTTCCTCTTATTTCTTAGTTTTATGGAACGTGTTTCCATGACAACTGAAGTTTGTGTTAATCTAGATGTTAATACCTATAATTAAAATAGTTATGACTACTCTGACTTGGGGTTTTTTGTTGTTGTTTGTTTGTTTGGCATTAGTAGAGTTTGAATTTGGGCCTCACTTTTCATAGGCAGGTACTACTTCTCAGCCATTCATCCAGCCCTTTATCATGGAAGGGGGGACAGGGGAGGGTGCTGGTCCTGGGGCTTGAACTCAGGACTAAGGAGCTATCCTTGAGCATTTTCACTCAAGGCTAGCTCTCTGCCCTTGAGTAACAGTTCCACTTCCGGCTTTTATGGTACTTAATTGGAGATTAGTTTTGCGGACTTTACCAGGCTGGCTTCAAACCACAGTCCTTAGATCCTAGCCTTCTGAATAGCTAGGATTATAGGTGTGAGCTATCAACACCCAGCTTGTGCTGATTATTTTTGAGATTGGGTCTTGTTTTTTGCCTGGACTGTGTACCACTTGTTTTAGATTTACAGGTTTTAGCTGGGATGACAGGTTCATGTGACCACTCTCCCCACAGCTTCTTCATTTGAGATGGAATCATAGACGTTTCTGCATACACTGACTGGAATGTCAGTCCTCTCAATCTCAGCCTCCTACATAGTTTAAGATGACAGACTCAAGCCACCTCACTCAGCTTTATTGCTTATAACTTGGAGATAAGAGTCTCACAGACTTTCCTGCTTGGCCTGGCTTTGAACCATGATCCTCAGATCTCAGCTTCCTGAATGGCTAGGATTATATAGACAACTGACTTCTTCCGTCTGTGACATTTACAGCAGGTGATTGGATTGAAACATTCTTATTCACTTGAGCCACACCCCTAGTCCAAAGCTATTATTTATTGCTTAATCAAATCCAAAAGCTCATCCCCCAAATTTTTATTTTCAAGTTTAGGTTTTGTAATCAGGTTTTAGAGATTAGGAAAACATACATACACAAACTTACATAATGATTCTAAATTGGGTGGCAGTATGTATAATACCAAATGGTTTCTGGCCAAAATCCAAAGAATTCTGCCACTTGTTAAAAAAAAGTGAAACTATGTAACTGTCAGAGAAAGGGCTTGAGAAATAATGAAATGTGTAAATACAGGTGGTCGGTTTTAGATTTTTTATTTGTTACTGCAATAAATAGGTTTATGGTTCACTGGGACACTTCAGTGATCAGCAGGTATCAGGTGAGCTACTCACCTCTTAGTTCTAGAAGATAAAAGGGAAGGAACAGAAAATACAGAGGAGAGTGTGAGAAAAATAGCCTATTAATGGCTCTCATAAGTCAGGAGCTTTTGATTTGTCTTGCTTTGTTTTTGTACTTTGTGAGGTAGGTAACCGTATTCCTATTTTACACCTGAGGGAATTTAGACTCCTGTGTGAATAACTTGCCTGAGATCACTAGAGTGGATAACTGCCAAGAGGAGGGATGTAAGCATTGCTCATGGTCAACACATTGGCTCTTTCTACTGTTCCACACTAGACATTAGACTAACATCCAGTCCCTCTTGAACCACACTGGTCACCATCCTGAGCTGCATGAGGGAGTTAAAAATTGCAACAAACATCCTCAGATGGGCCAGTGATTGGATTCCAAAAATTGGTTCTCAGAAGAAGGTCCAGAAGCATCCCTGAGACACAAGCAGCCTTCACTTCCAGCTGCCAATCCCAGTCTTGCTGCTCTCCAGGCTGATGAACTGCTTGCTGTGAGTCATCCCCACTCCGGGAGAGTGACCTGTGGAGGGCATAAAAATTTAAAAAGCCAGATCAGTACAAGTGCAAACAACTGAAGTGCTGTCACATGCCTACTGAAGTAGAAAGTGCAATGAAAAACAAATGTTGACATTGCTTTTGGAAATTTGGCAGCACTTCAAGTCTGGAAAGTCAAAGACTATCCTAGGATCACTTGTTTGACTTCTCTACATTTATTTTTGTGCCAGTCCTGTGGCTTGAACTCAGGGCCTGTGCATTTTGATTGAGCTTTGTGCGAGGTTAGCGCTCTACCAATTTGAGCCACAGCTCCACTTCTGGCTTTTTGGGGTGTTTAATTGGAGAAAGTTTCATGAACTTTCTTGCCCAGGCTGGTTTCAAACTGATCCTTAGATCTCAGTCTCCTGAGTAGCTAGGATTACAGGCATGAGCCACCAGCAGCACCTGGCGGAATTATTGCCACATTATTAGATAATGCTAATTCCCAATCCTGCCCCTAGCTAAGACCGCAGAATTCTGAGACTGTAAGGATCAGAAAATCGGCCGTGTGGACGTAGGGAGTGAGATTAGAGTTAGACCAAGATTTTGCAATTTATTCAATCTGTAGTTTGTTTTACTTCTCAGACCTCCAGGGTTTTTGTTTTTATTTTTTTTAAATCTGTTAAAGGTAATAGTTCATTAGATAATTAATAGGCAAGTGATTTACACACTACTCAATGCTAGTTGTTATTTTTACTGTCATTATCGTGCAGTGAGGAGATGAACCCAAAGCCAAGGCCTCACAGCTCATTAGTGCTGGAAACAAGACAAGACTCAGCTCCCCTGAGGCCCCTGGCTTAATTCAAGAACCTTTGGGGGAAGTGGCGCTGTGGCTCAAGCGGTAGAGTGCTCACCTTGAGCTGAAGAGCGCAGGGATAGTGCCCAAGCCCAGAGTTCAAGCCCTACGGCTAACCAAAACAAAAAACCTTTGGGCTGGGCACCGGTGGCTCATGCCTGTAATCCTAGCTACTCAGGAGGCTGAGATCTGAGGATCACAGTTCAAAGCCAGCCCAGGCAGGAAAGTCCATGAGACTCTTATTTCCAATAAACCACCAGAAAACCAGAAATGGAGCTATGGCTCAAGTGGTAGAGCACTCACCTTGAGCTGAAAAGCTGAAGGACAGCAACCAGGCCCAGAGTTCAACCCCCAGGACCGACAAAAAAAAAAAAATTGGAAGGCAGCCCAGGAAGCCTCAAGGGGAGCCAAAAACAGGGGTGAAGTTCAGTTTGGCTTTGAGCTGAAGAAAGTACCTGAAATGATTTTTCTGTAGGCCCTATGGGGGAAGTGGCCATTTCATTAACCCAGAATAGCAGAGTGGTATGATGGACAGAACACTCAGTTCTGTCTTTTTTTGCCCAAGCTGGCCTTGAACTTGAAATCCTTCTGCCTTAGCCTCCTAAGTACTGGGATTACAGGCATGTATCACTGTACTTGGCTCTAGTCTTGGTTTTGTTCTCTTCCTATATACATTTGAGTCATTTAGCCTCTCTGGCTTTAATTCCTTTACTAGTAAATGAGATAAAAATCCTGTTCCATATTACCTACCTTAGGAACCTTTGAGGTTCCGATGGATATGGATGTGGTTTATAACTGATGAAGCTAGTTTATCATGAAGCATGGGTGGCAAGTAGGCTGGGGAGGTGACGCAGTGGTAGAGCCATAACCTACTTGCACAAGGTCTTGGGTCTGAATCCCCAGTGCTACAAACAAAACAATAAACCAGACCTGGCAAATGCCATGGTCCAGTTTCTCCTACTCGTTACCCGTGAGGGACACTCACGAATGGACCAAGCCCTCTTGCCTCCTGTGCCACCGCCAGCTTGTGTAGCTGCCCACTCGCCCTGACAACCCAACCCCTGTGGGGATATCTGGGCTCAGACTCCAGCACACACGCATGTGAACACACAGCAGGGCTTCCCAGCACCTTGGTGCTTCCACGCTGAGTGAGTATGGGGCAGCTCAAGTGTCAGTGTCCAGTCCCTTGGCTTTCCTGTAGGCTGGTTGCAACCTGGAATGGCAAGCTCACCCCTGCCCATTGCAAAGGGGGTGCTGTAAGCAGCCTCAACAGCATGCCTCATAAGTACACTTTTGCAAGTTCTATGACTTGATTAGACACTGGAACGCACTGCCACACACACAGATTTCACAACGTACACCTAAGCCAATACACCTCCCTTGGGTTAAGTGTCTTCATTTGCAAAATGGAATTAAACTCATCTTTCTTTTTTTTTTTTTTTTGTCAGTTGTAGGGCTTGAACTCTGGGCCTGGGCGCTGTCCCTCAGCTCTTCAGCTCAAGGCGAGCGCTCTATCTACCACTTGAGCTACAGCGCCACTTCCGGTTTTCCGGTGGTTTATTGGAGATAGGAGTCTCACAGTCTCTCCTGCCCGAGCTGGCTTTGAACCTCGATCCTCAGATCTCAGCCTCCTGAGTAGCTAGGATTACGGGCGTGAGCCACCAGCGCCCGGCAAACTCATCTTTCTTATTCTTTTTTTTTTTTTTGCTAGTCTTGGGGCTTGAACTCAGGGCCTGGGCACTGCCCCTGAGCTTCTTTGGCTCAAGGCTAGCACTCTACCACGTGAGCCACAGCGCCACTTCTGACTTTTTCTGTTTATGGGGTACTGAGGAATTGAACCCAGCGCTTCATGCATGCTAGGCAAGCACTCTACCACCAAGCCACCTTCCCAGCCCCTTAAACTCATCTTTGATGGTGAAGGATGATGGCACACATCTTTTCTTCCCAGCACTTGGGAGGCTGAGGCAGGAGGATCATGTGTTAGAGGCCAGGCCAGGCTACATAAGGAGACCCTGCCTCAAAAACAAAACAAAAAAATACCATCTTTGTAGGATGACTGTGAGGAATAAATAAAACGTTTCTATGTTGAGTGTGTGATGGCTGCATTGGCACTTCGCTTGTGCTTAAAGAGAAGCTACGGGTGCCTGGATGGGCCTTAGTGGTATGGCACATTCCCTGAATTATATACAGTTATCTGTGTACCTGAACTAGAGCCCATAGCTTTCATCAGATTCTGTGTGTGTGTGTGTGTGTGTATGCATGTGCACACACATGCCCATGCCAATACTGGGGCTTGAGCTCAGGTCCTGGGTACTGTTTCTTAGTTTTGCACTTAAGGCTACCATTCCACCACTTCAGCACACCTCCACTTCTGGCTTATTTGTGCTTAGTTGGAGATAAGAGTCTCAGACTTTCCTGATGGTGCTGGCTTCAAATCATGAGCCTCAAATCTCAGCCTCTTAAGTAGCTAGAATTACAGATGTAAGCCACTGGTACCCAGCTTCTAATCAGC